GTGTCACGGCAACGAACTGGATCGCCTGAGGCCGGTCCATTGGCGCAGGGTATGGTCGTGGAGGCCGGAGGTCACTGGGATACGAGACGCTGCAGCAAATATGCAAGAACTGACTATAAAAGTTCGGGCGATGTTCGGACTAGGGACCTACACCTCGGGCCGTCCGCCGAGTCCCCATGAAGCAAAAACTTGCATAGCACACGAGACGCCCTCTCGGCCTACCCGGTAGGCGTGCTGTTTCCGAAGACTGCAGTTATTAGTACAAGTGGACCTGGGCGTTGCCAGGGAGCACTGCTTTACATGTGATACAGAAATCACGCCCATAGGCCAAGGCCTCATGAATGCTGCGAGCTCGGTGGACTTCACCTCGATAAGCAGCATTGCGCTGGCGCCATCTGCACCAGGGCGCGTTGTCACGCTCCACATGCCAGTGTGATCCCGCCTTGGTAGAGGTAATGAAGGAAATCGGATACCTGGGAAGGGCCGGTGGGGTGATGTGGACCTGATTCCGGGCCCATTTGAAGATATCAGAGCCGCCCCGCCGGCTGAGCACACCGGCTCGGTCGATAGCTCGCAAGCCCTCCAGTCGCGAGTATGCTTCCTCGAAGGAGCACCGCCGGATCCATGCAAGTAGCAAACCAGCCAACACAGGGGCCCTGTGCACCCCCGCCATGCAATGAACCAAAACGGAGTAGCCTGAATACAGGGTTGCCAGAAAGATAGGCAGCACCAACTTCAACTGGCGGTCACGTAGGGCTCCTTGATGACCAACAGGAACATTGACTTGGTAGACCTGGCGAGCACTGACCCCTCCCCGACAGTCGGCGGCAATCTTGTCCATGGCGCTGAAGCTCATGCCGATGTGGTGGGCCTCCAACCAGGCCCGGTCCGTGGGCAGACCGCCCAAGTAGATAGAACCATTGCCTGCTTCGCCCAGGAAGATGAGCGTGGGAGGCTCTGGGGCACCGCTGTGCCCGGGCCGGCGCCAGCGTTCCCGGGCCGCTGCATCGAAGGCCGCATCATTCGCCTCCTGCAGGTGCTGAGGCCGCTCCGGCGACGGTTGCAGCACTGAGGGCATGGCCTTGACTTTGGGGGTCGAAGGTGGCGTGCTCGAAGGAACTGCCGCGGTTGAAGACGAAGATGCCCGAGGTGAAGCCGATGGCAAAGGTGGTGGTGCCCGCAAAGATGGAATAGATGCCGAAGCTGATGAGGGCGAGACCACAGGCAGCACAGGTGGCACCTTCGGCGGAGGTGCTTTGGGCGGCGTCACCGGTTGGGCACTACCGCCAGCAGCAGCCCTGGGTGGCGACTCCACCCGTGCCCGCTTCGCCGGCCGCGAGGGACTGGTGAACGAAAATGTTGACACCGTGTTCCTCGGCCCCTGTGTGGGCTCAGGCACCGGGCCGGCAGCCACGGCGGGGGCCGGGCGCTTCCGCCGGAGCGCAGCAGTGAGTCGTTGACCAGTAGCGCGAATGATCTGGACCTGGGCCGGCAGCAAGGTCTTGACCACGGGCATGCCAGGGATGGAGTCCGTAGAAACTCGGCGGATCTGGGGGTCCGAAGCGAGGAGCTCGTCAGCCTCTTCCATGCAAGTGGACCATCGGGCCGAGGCATAGCCGGTCGGCAGTTCGTCCCACAACGCCATGTTGAGGTCCTGGAAGAAGTGCAAGCCAGCCAGGCGCAACTGGTGTCCTAGGCGTTGTTTCCGCGAGTCATATCGCAGAGGGGTGGTAGCCGTAGACTTGGAGGACTGATCCACCCATTGTCCAAGAGCAAGTCGCTCTGTCTCTGAGAGCCCCACATACCCTGCCAAAGTCGGAAGCACGCGGCGGAACGAGTAGGACGAGAGGCTGGTAACGTCCATGGCTGCACTCAGGTAGGGCTGCAGGATCCGGACACATTGTGCTGTACCCACCGGCTGGGCTGTAGCCGAGTCGAACCCCAACCAATGCCAGCGCTTGAAGCCGGCGCCTGTTCTGGGGCGCACTTTGTTCAAATGGGCACCCAGCACTTGTAGAAGGTCCAACGTGCCACAATACCTCGGAACGCTCCAGGCAAAGCCACCACGACTGCCAGTCTTACCTTTCGTGCACCAGAACACGAGGATGCCCCCGTTACCGCCGACCAAGTAGCTCCGTTGCAAATGGGTGTACCTGACCACACCAAAACAGAGGGCGTAGGCACAAAACACCATAGGCCAGTGAGGATTGTCAACGGTGGATTCCAAGGTGCCCAACAGGTGGATGACCATAGATGGCTCCAAAGTCGCCGCCTGCGCCTGCCCCTGACCGAGGCGAGATCCCAAACCAGCCCGAGGTTTCACCACTTCGGAGAGGTCAAATGGCAACTTGAGGTTGCGGACGATCCATCCTAGAGCGGTATATGCCCTGGTAGGGGACTTGTGCTCCCGAATGAAGGTGGCCAGGAGGTGTTTGTCCGGGATACCGCCACCTGCGGCCGCAATGACCCCTTGAAGCTCTTGCCACGTGTGCAATGCCCGCTTCACGGTGGCGGCCTCCGCCTTCTGGAGCACATGCGTGAGCTTGGCCTCGAAGTTGGCGGTGATCTCAGCCAAGCGTGCCGCCGGCGGGGGCTCAACTGCCAGAAGGATGGCCATCAACTGAGGCAGAAAGGTCAAGGCACCGCCATCCGGGCCGCCCGACTGACGGCCCTGGGTGCTGGGCCTGACTGGCCCCGCAAACGATGGGGTAGGTCGTGGCCTCAAAGGTGGCGATGTGGTAGGCCGCGGCGCTGATTGCGAAACTTGTTCACGACGAACGATGTCTCGCACCAGGGCTCCAGCGCCCAGCTCCGCTTCACGGCGCGCCTGGTCCCAGGCCTCTGCCACTGCGCGGCCCTGCTTCAGCGCTTCCTCGTAGGTAACGAAGTAAAACGCTAAGTCGGAGGGCCTTTCGATACCATGGGCAGCGCACCACCGCTCCAGCTTCTGCTGTTCAGCAGAGCGGCGGATCTGATCATCGGCGCTTGCCATGGCGTCAGAACCGGGAAGAAAAAGTTTAGCTTGAGGTACCAGCAGCGACACTGCTCCTCAAGGGGCGTCTCCCCAGTTTGGCTTGAGCATTCAAACATTGGGAGACGTTGATTCGAAGCTTCCCAAATAATTCATCATCACCGACCCTGCCTACCTTAAATGATTGAATATACCTTCCGCTGTCAAAAGTTGCGCTGAGCGGCCTACTTGAACTGTTCCCTGCCCGCAACTATCAACGTATCCCATCATCTATCATCAGCAAGCCGCAGAACTCCGGCGCACGAACCGTTCGGTGGTGGATCCAAAGCATCACAGACTTGAAGAAAAAGAATCAAACATGGTTCGAGGTATCTTCAAAAAGAAGTCATGACCTATCTTTCCCCATACTCTTACTGTTTTGGGGGTCTAGGGAGCCTTCAGCCCCCCCCCAAAAAAGAAAGCCGCCCGGCCTCGGATGCGGCGGTGCTTCCGCAGAGGACGCCGCGTGGGGCCTTCGAAGAAGACGGCGACCCCTCGACGGCGTTGTCGCAGGAAGGGCCACCCATGCTAGGGCCAGAATGGATGTGCCATCAATGGTGGTCTTGGTCTGTCGTGAAGGGCTGTGCCCGCAACAAATTGCGGCCACCCGACCTGGGTGATATCTATATATAATCGTCTTTGGGTCGTGATTTGGGTGGTGTTTGGGGTTGGCAGGGAGTGTCTTGGTCGAGTGTTTCCGGTTTGAAGCCCTTGTTCATATGCTTCTAGCACCCGGGCGCCCAGTTTTACTGAAGGGTTTCAAAGGTGGCGCTGCGATGCTGATGCCCTGAAGAGGGACACGCCTGCAGGGTAAAGTATAGGCATAGGTCATCAGCAAGTCGCCCTCCGCTCCATAAGCCCAAAAATACTCCATCATGGGTCATGTGCAAGATCATGGGTTCATCTGTAGCGATCGTCCACTTTTTCAATGGCATCATTCTTTCAGAGGTTCCAGAAGTTCCTGGAAACATACTCTCCCACATTCCCCCGACACGCCTCCAGTCCCTTGCAGAAGAAATTCCCAATATTCGTGTCATCAGCTCCTCTCCCATCATCGCTCCCCGATCGCTCCCCAGCTCTCCCCCTCCCGTCCTCCCGTGAGTCGGCTGCGGCCTGGCGTGATTTTTCAGACGGGTGGGGAGCCATACGAGTTTGGGGTCATACGGGTCTGTAGGAACAAAACAACACCTAACTTTCGTCAATGAAAGGAGAGAACATGAACACAGTTGTTGTTTCTTCATGTGTTTTTCATGTGCTGTCCTTCTTCCATCATTCCTCTGCTTTTCGCACCTTCGTTCGTGCTGGCCCTTCCGTAACCGTGTTGGTCTCCTCCTTCCTCTCCTGTTTCTCTTGCACTTCCATAAGTATGTTGCCTGCAAGTCTGTGTGGTACCCCCAAGAGTACTAACCTATTGCAATCGGCCAAGTCCTAACAGAATGAAGCCCACACCATGAAGAGAGCTTCTAACAAAAACACACCTCCAGTTTGTGCTACCTTCATTTAGGTCACCAGGATTGGCTTTGCCTCAGATACATCTTAGAGAAGAAAGACAACTGCAGCAACACCATTCCCTCTCTCTCTCTCTATATCTCTGTCTTTTCACCGGCCGTTGCTTCGCAAGCGGCCTAAGCGTCCTCCGCTGAGGCTAATGCAAAGCAACTTCAAATCACGTGAGGCCTACGGCTTCTAAGAGGTCTACGCTTCAGCACTTGGAGAGGACCAGAAAAATTTGCATCATCGCTCATGTCTGTCGCTTTTTGCTTGTAGTAGTTTCATCAATTCCCATGGCCCACCAGATGTTTAACATGATTTGACCGCTTTCGAACATGTCATGTCATCAAGATCAACCTGATAATGAACAACCCCGGTGGTTCCATCCAATCCTCTTCCTGCACCCTTTCAAGGGCCACACTTTGGGCCCTCCCTTTCCAGACACACGGTCGAATGAGGCGCTCGGTCTCGGTCTGGACCGATGAGCCGCCGATGGGACTTAGCTCGAAAGCATCGACCGGGCTTTGCGGCCCATCTTCTCCACGCTTTGCTCCGCCGCCGCTTTCAAGCCATGGCCCACTGCACGGTACATGGTGCCCTCCTGCGAAAGAGGGGGCGAAAGGGGGCAAAAGGATCGGTCGGATCGCTTCGGGCGGTCCCGGGTGGCAAGGAATTGGAGGTGGTTCGCTGCACTTGGGGTCCGGCTTCACCCCTCTACCCAAAAAGCTCCGGAAACTCGGGCGAGCCTCCCTATGAAAGACACATCCATTGTCCCTCCCCCTGGCCTTCAAGGATTCTTCAATGACCTCAGCTGCTCCACTTTGAACACTCAAACGGGCCATGATGGCCATCTCAAACGGAAAACACAAAGGAGAAATGGGCCAGTTCACTTCGGATGAGCCATGGATGGCCATCTGGCAATGGTCCAGAACATGGTGACCGTTCGTTCATGGATGTTCATCCTGGCTAGGGAGCAATCTGCACATGAATGTCTACTTTGACCTCTCTCTGGAACAAAAAACATGTCTAATTATGTATATTACTTATATGTATATATATATATCAGTTTTGTTGTTCCATTCTCGATGCTTTCCTGGCTCGCCGGCGAGCAGCCAGCTTGATGTTGCTGACCAGAGCTTCATCTCGCATACCTCGGGCATTGCGCTTCAGCCGATGAGTCCCATTGACGTGCCGGGACCGAGTCGGGGTTCAAACCGGTGGAGGGCGTTAGGCGGCACTGCAGGCAGGATCCAGGAGCCCCAGGCAGAAAAAGAAGGTGCAAGTGTTGAAGTCAGAAGAAATCCTACACCACCTGAAATGGACCAAGAATCTCTAAGAAGTGGGATATGGATGAAGATGGACTGTTTCCTTCAGTGGAAGATTCTCAACTGGATCTCTGATGCTAAATCAAAAAAGAATCTAATATGTTATGATCAACCATTCCCTCCAGCTGGATCTCTCATCTGCTTCCCAAAAATGTTCGAGCTTTTCAATCACTGAACAGCTCAGTTGCTGCTGTCAGTCATCTTCTTGATGGATTGCATCAGCTGCGGGTCCATGATGATGAAATCAATGAGCCTGAACACTCGCACCCGCAACGCCACAGCAATCCTCCACCGAAGGCCACCGCGAATCGCGGCCCGTTCCGCAGACTTCGTGCGCAGCCGAAGAACCTTCTTCCGCAGCGGCAGGTCGGTCGCGCAGTTTGGTCGGTCCACGTGGGGAGTCCATTCCAAATACCCAACGGACCGGGCGCCGCGTCTCTCCGGTCCACGCGCCGCGCCCGCGCCGCAATGGGGTCGAACGGCACGGCCCGCCTCACGACCGCGGGGGCGAGGCTGGGCCCCGCGGAATCGACGAAGCCGGCGATCGCGGGCGGCAGCTCGGGCCTGGGAAAGGGGGGTCGGAACGTGGTGGGTGAACGAAGGTCGGAGTTTCGGACAAAAAAAGCCCTGTGATAGGGCGAACACACCTCCTACCTTAGGGGGGGGGTCAACTACCCCCTACCCCAGATTAATTATGGGCGAACTGTTGGGGCTGCATGCGATAATGGTGCCGAGCGGTGTCAACTAGAAGAAGAGGTTTGCCCTCCTGGCAGAGATGGGGACTAGGTTGGACGTCCAACCCTATTCTCCACAAACAGCCATAGACCCGCAGATGTGTCCACTCTATGTCTTTTCAACACACACACAGAGAGAGAGAGAGAGAGAGAGTTTGTATATAAGTCTTTGCATATGTTTGCACAAGCATTTTCCAACTTAACGTCACTTTCCCCAGTGGTCCGGGGGTCCGGGCCGCTTCGAAGGTACAACCGACGGGTGTTCACCGTTGAACCACCGGCGCCGCCGGTCCGGTCCCCACCTCTGCAACACCACGGTGATCACCGGCGGCACCACCTCGCCGACGAACTCCAGCAGCGCGGGCGTCCATTCCCTACAGCCGTTGCAGGTGTCCACCGGGAAAAAGAAAAACAAAACGTAGGAAAACGATCCCATTGGACCCTGAAAACCACTGGAGTTGGTAGAAGGAAAAACACGTCTTTCCAGGTCCTATTCTCAGGGTGCACGTGAGTAAACAGTTGGAACCGATCGAATGTGAGGCAAGGGGGCAAAGAAAGAACCAAAAGAAACAATGCTTGAAACCAGTTGGGCCGATTTAGAGCAGGAACCAATCATACCCATGTAAAACATGCTTACAGTGTTGAATTGTGCCTGAGTTCAGCCATCAGCTGTTGGATCTGTGTGGGCAAAAGCAGTTTACGCAACTCTACCAAAAAGTTGCTGTTGTTGGAAGGGGAGTTGCAAAGCTCAGGATATTCTCCCAACCAAGTAGCTATGGATAGTGAAGGTGAATAAAAGGCATCACAGCTAGTGCACGGTGATTATCTTGTTTGGATTATATCTACGTGGGACAACCGATCTGAGCTTAGTACCTTGATCCGTCCCAGTGTCTCCATAGTCACATCATTCCTCCACGTTTCTACTATAGTTGGATGCTTTTTGTCGTGTGTGCATCAAGCTGAATGCTTTTGCAATACACCTCAAAAGTAAAAAACCACGTCATTACCGTGTTTTTCCACGGTGTTTTCCCTACTACCAGACCCTCCGCACCCTCCGCACGACGTTCCGCCTCGCACCCATCGGTTCCCTCCCGGCCTGTTGCGCAGCACGGAGCTGAGCACGGGCGGAACCACATCCCCCACCAGCTGCATGAGCGCAGGGGACCAGGCGCGATGGTTGGTCAAGACCCCGCGCATCACCTCCGGCGCGCAGGGGTGGAGCCAAGAGAGCGCCCGGTGGTGAGCACGGGAGGTCAAAAGGGGTTGAGTCCATTTTATTCCCCGGTCAACCAAGCATCTTTGGCTTCATGAGTTGGTGCAGCGACCACGAAATAGATTAAAGTCAGTCTCCCTTGAGAAAGTTTGGAGATCATTCCGGATTCCTATCAATATCATTGGGAGCCAAAAGAAGAGAAAAACGGTTTACAAAAATAGGTAACTCATGGTAACTCTGTGATCTCGAACTGACAACCCCCACTGCGGCCTCGAACTCAAGGAGACAGGTGATGTCATGTCTTCATCTGTTTCCCCTACTGGCCTTCACAGCCAACACTGTGCGTAACGTGACAAGGCCCTCCTGCATTTTGCTGCATTTTGGAATCGAAACCCTCTGCCTTGCATCCTCAGGTTCAGACAATTCGAGTAAAACCGACCAGTCCTTCGGCTGGGCAAACTCCGCAGTCAGGTCCCAAAAAATCTGGGGCTCCCGACGGATGGCACGACATCGCCCACCAGTTGGGTCAAAGCAGGGGTCCATTCCTCCTGCCATTGCGCTTTGGGGCACACACCAGGGGGTCTCAGTGGATGCCGCTGGGGATGATATTCTTGGGCTGAACCCGTTTCTGGGCGGCCGAGCTGATTCCCGTGGCCTATCTCAGATGCACATATCAACACTTGTCCACAAAAGAATACCGAATACCTACCGGATCTTCCAAGCCAAAGGACTAAGCCAATCTTGTTTGGTTGGGATGTTCCCACAACCTCTCGAAAAACAGCAATCGGCTGCCAGATGAGGTCTCAAGGAGACCTCAAGGTGAGAACTACCCTGGCAATCCCGAGGAGCTGCAGCTGTGCCGTAGCTACTTGTAGCGTTCTCAGCACCTCACAGACCCCAAAAAACCACCCAAATCCGCCGCCAGGTCAGGAGCAGAATTCCTGGTCACTCTCGCAAGCCATCCGCCACTTCCCCCCCACTTCCCGGCCGCCGGGTGCGCACCACCCAGCCGCCGGGGCCCCGCCTTCTTCTCCATGACCCGAGACAAGGCGGGAGGGACCACCTCGCCCACCGCATCGATCCTGGGCGCGGTCCGACGCCGATCCACCGGGCCCATCCCACGGTGCGGGTCGTTCCGGGGTCCCATGAAATCCGTTCCGGGTCGGCCCCTTCAAGGAAGGGTGAGACTCTTGAAAAAGAGAGGCTCCGGTGCGACGCACTGACCAGGAGCAGAAGGGTCTGCGGATCCATTCGACTCGAGAGTCAACTCACCGTGCGGGAAAGAAAGAAGATTGACTGTATAAATAGTGACTCTGGCGCGGCGCCTGGCCTTCCACCCGTAAACACACCAGAAGCATGGGAAAAATCGAGTCAGTTCGCTTCTTCTTCACCTGTTCTTCTCCCAGTGGCACTGGCGGGAGCCATTGGGACTTGTCCTTGAGCACTTCGTGCCCCAGCTTTCCCGCGAAGTCCACCAACCCCGAGGCCACCCTGAGCCGCGGAAGGCTTCCGCGGAAGCCGCGGCAGCGCCAGCTTCCAGGCAGGGTGTTACGCGGAGCGACCCCGGAAGGAGGAGAAGCAGTTCGCCAGGAAGAAGGAAGAGTTCCCAAAAGATGCAGATAGCCAGTGTGGTGATGTGCTTTTTGGGTGGTGGGTGTTTGAGTTTCTTCGATGGCCGGAAACTCAGCAAAGAAAGGGACGTGTGACATCAAACACCTCTGGCTTTCTGGGTTCACCGATGGCCACGGATGGCCACGGATGGCGCTCACCGACCTGGGCCTCTGCAGTTCCCCCCTAAACCCGAAACCCCTAAGAATCTGCTGTTTGCAAAAAAAACTCTCTGATTAAAGCTAGTGCAAGGCGATTGGTTTTTTTGGGCTCACACATGTTGAAACCCACGAGTTCTGACACTCAGTCTTGCCAAGGCACATGCGCCGGAGCCCCACGTGTGGCAGCGGGAGGCCACCGCGCAGGGCGGGGCCCAGGAACGGTGCCACCCAAAGCGCCGCCAGCAGCAAGAACACCGAGGCCCAGCGTTCGGGAAAGACCCACAACACAAGACCTGAGGTCTCTTGCAGATCGGCAGAGAAAGTGGGGCGCAGAGCGGGCGAAACATGACGGGGCAGGGCGACCTGTGGGTTCAGTTCAGGGTCCCAGGGTTTTCGGAACTTGGAGTTCTGTGGTGCTTAGTGGGGAGGACGGCAGCTGAAGATCACTCTAGAGGCAATTCACTGTAGTGGTAGTTGATGAGCTGAGCAAGGACTAATCCCCCCCCCAAAGATCCAGCCAACACAGACGCGCGTTACGCGGACTCGCGTTACGTCAACCCACACAAGAACGCACGCGTTGCGCGAGCCTGCCAGCGCCAAGAGAAGTGTGCGAATCCAGGCCCAAAGAACCGATTCCTCCGGTACCGTCACAGAGGTCGAAGGATCCAGCCCCTGGCGTCGCGGTGGTGCGCGAAAACCGCCGCGGCGCACCGTTTGGGCGGCCTATTTTTGGGTCAAGTGCCGAGAACCCGTTCCCACCTGGAAATGGCCCCCCCCCAACTTCTCGTCTTCCCCAGCTTGCGTTCAAACGCCTGGGTACTGGGGTTCCTCGGGGGGGCGCCAAGTTGCAAGGTTATGTACAGTATATAATTTTTGTTCGCCGTCCACGAGTAGTTAGGAGATCCAACCATTTCTGATGGTCTGACTGCTCCCATCCAGCATCCCGTCAGGCGGCGAATCCCGAAAACTCACGTGACAACGCTGGCGGGCGCCTTTTCCAAGTCCTCCACGTTCAGCAACGGCTCTGCCAGCGGCTCCACCTCACTCTTCATGCTCCGTTGAACAAACATGTTGTTTTAAATTTGATCATGTGGAATTGGGAGGCAAAAAGAACAGTTGCAACCACTATATGGTTTCTGTGTTCAATTTCCGAACCAAAATGGTTGATTTGTCGCACATGTGTAAACGACTGATTGGAAAGGCAAAATGTTGGCAAAGGCCGTTGAGGCTTTAGGGTCGTGGCCAACTCTCAAACCAACCAGTCATTGTTGAGACCGGTTGGAGTTCCTTGGCCCTTTTGGCAACACCTTAATCTCTCTTTGTTTCTCTCTCTCTCTCTCTCTCTGCGTTTCACCCAAAATCAATCAAAATGATAGAACCAAAAGCAGCACACTTTGCTGAGCAAGATTCATTGGCAAGCTAGTCGTGGCCTTGCATCACACCAGTCTTTCACCCACACCCATCCACGGTCCTCCTCTGCCGAGTTGTTTCTTGTTCGTCGCTTTCCGTGGCACCCAACGGCCTTTTTGCTTGGAAGGATCGGCTTCACTGGCTCCGCCTGCGCGGCGAAGATCGCCGTCGAGAGACGGAAGAAACCGTGCAGATCGATCGGTGTTGGAAGATGGTCTCCTGGAAGATCCGCTGTTTTCTACTCAGACTGCGTCCACCAAAGTGGCATGTTAGATCAATAATTTAAATGCTTTTTATTACCAAGAGATCACCATCTGCACCACCCGTTTGTTTCAGACTAAGTTACATCCTCATCTACCTCGTCTCACCATCGCCGGTGACCGTCCGATTTCATCACCATCTTCGGCATGGTCGACTTCGATTGGAAGCTTGGCAGGCTCAAAAAAATAGTCCTCGTCCTCAAAATACCAGGAGCTTCCGTGATCCGCTGATCTTGAAAGTTCCCAAAAAAATCCGTGGATGAACTTGTTGCGAAATCCTGTCTCACCATGGAGAGACCCCGAAGCCTCTGCCCCGCCGGCGTGCTCACCGTATGAAGTTCGGTCGCGGAAACCCTAGAAAAACCACACCAGACCATCTCAGGCGCCCATAAACCATGGTGACTACCGTGGTGCTATGCACCTCCCGAAATCTTCAGGGTTGGATTCATGTTCGAGCTGCTCAAGCCATTCATTTCTTGATTCCTTTTCTCGTCGACGTTTTGGGGTCCTAACATTCACATCAAGTCGTGCTCTCACGGCCTCATGTGGCTCCGGGACGAGGTGCAAGTGCTCGTGAGCCAGCACCTGCCAGAGGCAAGTGCTCGGGGCCATGGTCTTCTTTCGCACTCGATCAATTGAGCCTGTGTGCACTCGTTTTGTGGAACTCCTGTTATCAGTCATTCCCAAGTCATGGGGATGTTTAGCAGTTTCGAAACCCCCTTCCAGCTCTCCCCCCCTCGTCCCCGGCCTCTCGCGGCACCGAAAACCCGGAGTTGGTGCGGGAGTGCGTCACGCCGGGCGCCCGCGGGGTGTAGATGGGAAAGACCACCGGCGTCACGGGCGCGCCTGCGCTGAGCCAAGCCGAGCCCAGGAAGCGGGCTGGAACCCGGACCGAGAGACCAGGGTTCGTCCGGATGGGTGGGTGGTTCAGACCGTCGATGTGATGAAGATGGATCCGAAGAGAGTGACTCCAAGGTCTTCTTTTAGCAAAAGGGTAAAGAGAGTGTCCTATATGGTCTACTCCAAGTCAGTCCCACCTTCCAAGACCGGTCACCAGTCCAGGTCGTCAATGCGAACGTCGACCATTCCAGTGTCAGACCATCTCCCCGTCTTCCATCGATGCCAATCGGTGAACATCGTCCAGGTGGTCGCTACAGACATGCCGCATGTACAAGGAAGATCCACTCAGACACCAAGTCCTGTTGATGGATTGAAATGATGTTCCAAGCTGAAAACCAAGCCATCTTGCCGTGTGAGTTTCATGTTGAACACGACCTTTGGTCTACTGTACCATGATCTACCCTAGCCATCTTTGGTCATGGCGAAGAAACACAACACGACCATGTCAGCACATCTGCCGTAAACCCGGCCGCCTGGCAACGGAATCGTCCTGGAAGCAGGGGCAACGAAATCGAGAATGGACACCACGAAGAGTGAGTGCCACGGCCGCAGGTGGTGCTTTGGGAAGGTTAAGTACACTCCGAGGAACACATCACATGGTTAAGTGGAGTTCACCCCCAAGGAACCCTTTTCATCCAATGCCATTCACTTTCACGTGATGTGTTCGTGACGTGTGGTTGAGCAGGTCCACCAGTCTTCCCGAGACCCGTTTGTGAATTCCTCTCTGCCAAGAGCGGTTTTTTGGGCGACGGAGATCGGCCACATGTCTGAGGTTTCCTGAACAGATCTGGCTTGCGCAAAAACTCGACTATACGAGCTCGGAAAAAAAAAAGACTTAGTGAACTGTCCTGTCACCCACCGAATTGACACGAAAGAAAGCACCTGAAGTACCGAAAGAACGGGTCCCATGTGAGCCAGTTTGCGAACCACTCAAAGGCAAAAAAAACCGAAGAATCTTAAGAGTCCTCTCTTTTTTCTCCTTCTTCGACTCCTCCGATAAGCCGACCCAGCGACACGTGGCGCGTTCCGCGACACGTGGCGCGTCCGCCTCGCGGTGCCGCCAGGCCAAGCTGCGGTCGGATGGGGCCTGACGGACGGGAATGGTCACCGACGGCTTGGACGGAACCCACGAAGGGAGGAGTTGAATTGGGTGAGTTGGGCTGGAGTTGAACTGCCAGATGGGTGAGGCAAGAGATGGATGGATATGGTATGATGGTTCTAGATCTTGAGGGGCCTTGAGGATCTGAGAACGGCACGAGTGTGGAAAGCCGAAAGCTCCAACACACCCGGTGAATGCGTTTGGACATACCTTTCGGGAGTCAAACTGTTCGCACGAAACCAAGTTTGGAAGCGAGGAAAAATCTGACTGGTGCTCAAGTATCGAAAAGTCGACGGCACGAATTCCCAAGCCGACTTGCAGGGAGAAAAGCGGCACCACTTCGACCGAACAGCCGCGGCCGAACTGTCCACCCACATCGTGATTTCTTGGCAAAACCTGCCATGTCAGACTCTGCAAAAAGCTATACCCTTGGGTGGACAAACATGGAATTCTGCCAGGAAGACTTTCTCGACCGCCAGGTTGAAACACCCCGCTGAAGCGTTGCTGGGAGACGGCGCTGTGCCCCATCACATCGCACCCTCAGGACGCATCACGGCGCCCCTGCCATCCACCGCAGGAAGCGATCGCTTCGCCTCGCCATCTGCGGTGCCTGCGGGCCTGAGACCGGACCGAGCAAAGACGCTACGAACGGAGCAAAGGGCATCGCTACGAACGGAGCGATCGGACGCTACGAACGGGGGCTCCTGGCATGTCCAGCTGGTGATGAGGGATGATGTCCATTGAAAAAGGAGGTATCGGTGGGTGATGCTGACCCACCAGCATGTTCCAGTGGATGATATAGGTGTAGGATGTGTTCAGGTCCTCGACAAGTCAAATCTGGAGGTGTGGTCGAACTTTGCCACCAATGTGGCTTAACATCTTGAAGCATCACCCGTTTTCTGGAAGACGCGAGAGTCGAGAAACCGCATATTTTTTATGATGCGGTTTTTCGGTTGGTCGGTTGGTCGGTCTTGGTCCAAGTGACACGTTGGGGTTCCCACCACCCTGCAACTCCGTGGCAACACCTCAAACATGGAAGTCATTCCCAAGCACCAACACCTATTGCAGTGTTTTCAGAGTAGATAACACAATCCCCAAGATGGAACCCCCATCTTTTCAAGACATCTTGAGGTCTGTGCCATCGAACGTGTAGAAACCATGTCCTTTGGGATGTGCTAAATCCTGTCTTCCCATCCGATCCCGCCTGGTGCTCCCAGCCTGAGACGTCCCGTCACGTGGGGAGAAGGCACGGTCTGACGGTGTCGACACGGGAGAGTGGTGATCGCTTGAATGGTATTCTCGTATTTGGGATGCGCTTTGATTTCCGAGCAGCAGAATGTAGAAGAGATAGCGTACGTATATAACAATTTGGGTCAGGGTGTAGCAACGAACATGGCCATGGGTTGTTCCTGAAACATCGCTGTGTCTGTCACACCGGGTTTGCAAACCGTGGGACGTTGAAAATAGACACATCGTTACGAGTCATTTCTGGCAGCGCCTGACATGGACGTGCCAGCCTCCTACACAAATGATGTGTGACCACACTTTGTTTGCACGTCTTTTCCGAATTTGCCTTAGAAGAGTTTGACACAACGTTGCACTCTTGAAAAGAAACAGTTCAAGGCCCAAAAGGGTCCTTTTGTTACCGGTCAAGCACAAACACCAAAACCACGGTGTTTAAGGGGCTCAGACCAACTTACATTTGCCTTACGTGCACCAGATATTCCTAACTAGCCTTGTGGACTCGTGATCAAGAGTGTTACAATCCAAGTGGGAGGTTATTCATCAAGAGTCTACATTACACTCGTAGCAGCCCAAACATCCCAGCGACCCCTCCCCTCCCAAACCTATGCCACGTTCTTCTTCCCAAGGTGCCAGCCACGCGGTCGCATGGGGCGTCGGCGGCGTTCACGGCAAGGCCGTCCGCACGTGTGCGCCGCGGTTCGAGTCCGATCGCTTCGGACGGCGATCATCATGCGAGCCTTTGGATGAACCAGCATCCAAGCACCGAAGATGGGCCGCTGAAAGGTGCTTCGCCCCCGATGGTGGAATCGTATGAACCCCGGGAATGCGCTGAAGCGGCCTAGAAGACACCATCTATGATGGTTTTGGATGAGTTGGGGGCGTCATCACCAAATCCCCGCACTGACCATAATTCTGAAGAAACAAATCCGCGGCTGAACATGAGGAAGAGTACAATATATGTGCATCACATGCTGCGGCCTCCTGCAGATCTTCCCAACTACTTGACCTATTTCACCCAAAGGTGATTCTCTTTCCGTCTAGAGGCCAGCTGAAAATCCAACTCACACAGACCATAGACCTTTAGAAAGACACAAAGATCTACTCTCCCTAACATGGAAGTGGAAAACACCCTGTTTGTAGAGGAAAATGGTCTTCCAAGAGGCTATTGTCCACTTCCATGTTAGTTCCAGGGAGTGTATACAACTAAGAACAGGCATCATCTAACCTTGAAGCTCCGGGATCGTCATTTTCGCAGGGTCCTTTCGATGTGATTTTCCTGGGCGTCCAAGTCTTTCGGTCTCTCGACCGGTGGAGTTTGGAGAGAAAAAAACATGTACACCACGCAGTAAAACAAGTGATCATTGGTGCAGTGGTACAAGAAGATGTCCCCTTCAATTTCCATACTGTTGACTCAAATTCGTGACCGGCAGCACGACTTGCACTCCTTGGACGTGAGGCCAGCATTTTCCCCATCACGACGCGTTTCAGTTGGAAGAGAGACCTTACACCTCCAGAAAACATCCTGGATGAGTGCTGCACCCCCAACCAGCGGCTTCGCTTCAATTCTCAAAGAACGTGCACTTCGCTCAAAGAACCTGCAAAGGCTGGGAGTTTCCCCATGTCGAACGGTGAGAATGTGTCCATCGATGGCAAAGTGGTGATCCCTGCATGGCCAGCCGTGTACCAATTGGTGGCAGGATTCCATGTGGGTCATTGCAAAACCTTGGGGGTATCATGCCCTCCGCAAACTCCTAGTCACTTGGGATTTGAGCCAAGACTCCTCAAACATGTATTTGAGGGAAAACTGCGTCAAGACTTCCGACAGGATCACCCCAAGGCAGAATGCTCGAGCAGGATGCTCTTGACTGAGCAGAACAGTCCATCAATGCATCTCACGGAGCGGCTGCAGACACCTTGGCAGCGGGTGTGCGAGCGGACATTTCGGAAGGGGGGGGTGCATGTGCGTGGCCAAAAGAGGAGCGAAAGGCGCCAAAAAAGGACCATCCAGCGGCTTATGTGGCTACATCGCTCTGCTCAAACCCCCGGCCACAAGAACGACAAGGTTGATTCCAGACTGACCCGCGAAGGTCAGCTGCAATAGCCCGTGGTTGCCACGGCTGGCTAGCTGGATCTGCTTGTCTACTTGACCCTGTGCATGGGAGTGTGCAGATCAGGAAGCTGCGAAACTGTTTCTATCTATTTGGGGACCTTGGCCAACAAAAGCCTCCTGTCCATGCTTGCGGGTCACGGCCAAACAGTTTTGCATCAGCAATCACTGTTCCCGAAACTGTCCAGACTTATTGCCGCAGCAGCGCAATGCCAAATCACACATTTCTCAGGTTCCCGCGCAAAAAGAAATATGAAATAGCTTCGCGCGCGCGCGCGAGCCGCTCTGCGAATGTGGGGACGCTTCTGCCTGCGCCACCAGTACTCGGTACACCTTCTGACGGGGTCGACGCCTTTTTCAACACCGATCCTCCGAGGATGCGAGGGTCGATGATGGCGGGAAGGTCGCGCAGATCGAGGCGAGACATTCCTGGCCCTGCAGGTGAGAGGCCGAAAACGCAACGCCAAGTCGATGAAAAGGGCCTTTCGTTCAAGATGAAGACACACAAGAGGTACTCCCCTGCAGATATACGTTGAACCCGAGGACAGAAAACCTGGAAACAAACGTGGCCTCCACCGTTTAAGAATGCAATCAGATCCTGGGGAATGCCTGCAGGTTTGGGGATTTCATTTTTTAGTTCTCAGGTTCTTCCATGCTTTCGCAAAACAATGCAATTGCGGGGAATCCCCGATGAATTTCGAAAACATGAGCACCAGAGTCCTCCACCTTGAAAAGTTCCATGTTTATTTGTTTTGTGGCCCTGGTTTTGTTTTTTGCAACTAATGTGGTCATGGTTTGCCGTCTGATGCACAAACATAGCACCTGCCTTAGTGGTGTTTTAAACGTTGAACTGTGATAAACAAACGTAGCACCCAGCATTTGTTTAAAATCGAATAGGACGTGTATAACTGCAAGGGTGTACCCCAGGAAAGCGGAAAGAAAGGCCCCAGAGAGTCGAAAATGGAAGTCCAAGAAGATGCGAAAAACACATCCACTGCTAATCACTCAGAAGGAAGTCGTGGCAAACTATACAGATGGTGTGGCTCGGGCACCTAGGAGCTGTTCGAAGCGTCCCGAGGTTGCGCAGATGCCGAAAGGCCAGCTGTAAGCCTTCGAATTGGCAGCCACCACGACATTGCCGGGATATACAGACTTGCTGTCTTCTCCCCTGGCAAAACCAAAAATGGGGACCCTGTCCCTCTGAGCAGCTTGGCACTCGTTACCCAGCCACACAGCAACTCAGAGGAAAGGATCTGAATTACACAGACTCAAACAGGCACTTGGACACCCCCTGAGCTTGTTACATTCTTTTTCAGGACCTCACTTTGTATCATTGGATTCATCTCTGTCTGCCAAACTCAAGGAGCGGCGAAGGTGCCTGTTGAACCCTATACAGGCTCATGTGATTTGTCTGGCCTAAATTCCTCCTCATTCGCGCCTTTAGGACTTGAACAACATCTCCTTGGTCAACAAGTGTGACGAATTGAAGTTCCCGATGTTGGGAAAGACCTGCGCGCGCAGGTCTTATCAAGTCAGACATGGTGTCCCCCCTCGCCGGGACAAAAAGGTGTCAAACACAGCCTGGGCGCCGAAGGCGAAGAAGAAGAAGCAAAGCAACACAAGAAGCGCAAACGAACAAACTGACCACCGCCCTCCAGGCTATGTCTTGAACCTGTGCAAATGTCCAGGATAAAGGATATATGAGTAGAAAGGATCTGGGTCAGATAAGTTTGGAAAAGTACTGCAGAATTCATTTCTGATGTTCAAAAGCCTTGCGTTGGAGCTTCCTTTCTTTGGAGACTGAGGTGAGTCACTGAGTCACTGCATGGGGTCCCCCCCTTTTTTCCAACTTTAGTGACCAGCCAGATGTTCGCCCGCCTGGCTGGCTTGAGAGGCGTCCATACCCATCCACTCGGCCACTGGCATCATCATCCCCTCAAGGGGGTACCTGATGTCCGGCGCTCCACAGATGCAAAAACTTCCCAGGCGCTCCACAGATGCCAACTGCAGGAAGAGCCGAGCACTCAAAATCAAGGGTGTCTAGAGGGGCCAAGCGAACAAACACGGAAACATGTGAGGAGACTCATCGCTTCACTCAGCCAAATCATGGATCTGCTCCGCTGTCGCTCCGCACTGAAATCCACCGGATGATAAACACGAGCCGGAGCTCTTAGTGTTTTAACCTATAAATAGGTTAATATATATACCTGGACCTTCAAGGGGTGTCCAATGGAGGTCCCTTAGTGGTGTAGGCGCTTCCATTGGTGGCCCTTGGAAGGTGTTGGTATGTATATATATATATATACATATGTCAACAGCTTCGATTGCGGAGGCATCGCTTGCCCACATTGCCCTTTCACTGCGCTGTAACCCGAGGAACCCACAAAAAGAACCATCCAAATCGCAACCCTCTTTACAAGCCTCCGGGTCATATCTCCAAAAACAATCTTCCCAACCGTCCCTCCCCCATCTCGCCACCCAACCGTCCCCGTCCCGGGCCCCGGCCCTGAGCCTGGGAATGAGACGTCCGCGTCCGGCGTCCATGGCCGAGTCTTCGGCCAGGTGAGGGTAGGCGTTGAGCATTCCGCCTTGAATCGCTCCCGACAGGACCTCAGGTCGGAGGGGCCGTTGATGGCCCCAATCACCAAACGTGTGAGACGCCATAGCTTGAGGGAACATCAATGCTATTGGAGCTACTGTGGGTGTAAACCCCTATCAACTCCAATCGCCATGTAATATAACTATTCTATATTCTAATCCCAAATCACCCTTCGGGCCCAAGCCACCATCTGAATGCCCGACCAGCCGTGGTCGGTGCCCGCGTTGCTATTAGGCGTCAGCGTGCGAGCGAAGTCCGAGTGCGTCACGATGACCACCCGGTCGAAGACATTTTGTGCCTCGAGCTCCTGAAAATGGTCCAGTGTAAATGGAGGCGGTGTAAACCCATGAGAATTTGTGTACCTAGAACCCAGTTGACCTGTTTGATAGGAAAGGGGGATGGTTGATCATCCAAAACAGGGGTCACTCAGGTTCCAGGTATATAGTTTTTTTGACAGGTGGTGTCTGTTGCGGGCCACCGCTAGGAGGTTGGAGGCCATTCCTAGTCTGGTGTCTTGTTGCATAAAGGGCTTTTTCTAAATCCTGCTCAGAACACAGCTTGAAAGTTTCGTGAAGTCTCAAAAGGAAACCTGCTTCAGATAGTGCGTGATAGCACGTACTACACTCGCGACTTCCTGTGACACTTCTCCTCCTCAGGTGAACATTGCAGTGAATGCGGAGCTGAGGACTCTCGGGAACACAGGTATGCCTTCTGCCCTGCTTATGAGGACATCCACAATGAGCATGGGCATGTCATCGACAAGTGGTGGCAACTCAAAGACTCTTTGGCACTCCATGGATTGGACAGCGCCAATCCCTTCCAGCTGTTGTACTGGGAGGGACTGCGCCAATCGCTTCAGTGGGACCTCTTCTTCGCCTTCCCGCCTGCTGCAACTTGGCATGTATGTCGTGATGGCAGTGCCAGTGCGAAAGAGACTCCTGACCTGATGTTAGCTGTTAGCATCATGACCCATCATCCTTGCGGACGAGGGCTCTGATATCCAATATCCTCTTGTTGGGTACCAGGAAGGTTCGAAACATCCCCTTTGGGGCTGAGCTCTGGAGTGCGATAGCTGCCCTCACCTGGGTTGGGGAGGAAGGATGCCTGCACTTGTGGTCAGACTGCCAGTTCATGGTCAGACTGCCTGCGCAGTTGGCTTGTTTGTGGCTTCGCCTTGCCTCCAGCACAGCCCTTCTTTCCGAACAAAGGCCTGTGAGGTGTGGGTCCATAAAGTCCCACAACATGCTGACCCTTCTGCATGCACCTCACCGTTGGAGGAGTGGAGCCTCCATAATGAGCAAGCTGACAAAGCTGCAAAGTGGGCAAATCTCAATCGCCCATCCTGGTTCATGCGAGTGTACGACAACTTGGCACAGCGATGGCATGAAGATCACGCCACATTCTTGAGCTTGAGCAAGCTGCATCTTGGTGTGGCCCAACGAGATGTTGAGAGTCGCCGTACTTTGCCACCTGAGCCTGAGGAAGAATTCGTTTTTGATCGCCGGCTGCGCTTTGGTACAGAGCCCTTTTCGGAACTTGTGCTTGACAGGATTCCTAGTTGGCACGCGCTTTTGCCGGGGGCCGATCAGTTCGCGCCCGATTTTGTTTAGCATTTCATCGACTTTTTTGTCGGACTTGAGGGAGCCACCGACAGACGATGTCTTGTTTCCTTTATCGAACTTGCTGTTTGTTTCCGTTCTTTCCTCGGTACCGATTTGGTCAGTGCTGGTTCGTCTACTCCCCCAAACCGCTTTCTCCCAACCACTTTTGCAGGAGAACTGCGGTTGTTTCGACGGCTCTGGAGTTTTGTCACGGTGCCACTTCTTGTGCCCCGAAACTGGCTGGATTGATCTTCGATCTATTGGTGTTCATGTTGGTTGCAAGGGTGGTCATTTTGCTTACTGTATCCCTCTGACGCTGAAGCGAAGACCGATTCGCAACAGTGGGCTGGCAAGGCCCTTGAGGGCTGCCGCATAGGTTGCAGTGCAGTGCTGCTACGCCGCACTGGCTGCTGAACCGACTTGTCGGCTGTTCGCGTGTGGACACTCTTGTGGGACACTCTTATAGGGGTCTCTTGTGGGTCACTCTTATGGGACACTCTTGTCGGACACTCTTGTGGGACACTCTTGTGAGACACTCTTGTAGGACACTCTTGTGGGACACTTTTCTGGGCACTCTTGTGGGACACTCTTGTGGGACACTCTTGTAGGACACTCTTGTATGAAACTCTTGTGGGTCACTCTTGTAGGACACTCTTGTGGAGCACTCTTACAAGACACTCTTGTGGGACACTCTTACGGGGCACTCTTGTGGGACACTCTTGTGGGACACTGTTGTAGGACTTTGTTGAATCATCGAACAACCAGAGCACGTGTGGATAGCTCCTGAGTGTCGACCATGGTGCCGATGGTCCCTGTTCAATGAGCAACGTTCGCGTGAGCACTTTCTTCAAGTGGCCGCCGAACGTATCGAAAACATATGGCAAAATGCTTTATGTGTAGTTCTGTGTGAACACCAGTTGAACAACGACAGACACTTCCATTTGGAGCAACCGAACGGGTCACTTTTTCTCCAACATCCTAATATAGTTGCATTGGAACATGCAGCGCAGCAGTGCAGGTTCGACATGTGTCTCGTAGGTGGCTTGAAAGACCCCAAAACCAAGGAATTCATCAGGAAACAAATGAGTGTTCTGACCACCTCAAAGCATGCGCGCAACATGTTGCACAACCGATTCTGCAGACACGACCACAACCACCATCAAATCGCGGGGTCCACGAAGGTGAACGGTCAGAACGTACCTATGTCAGCCTTCACTGAGCTTTACCCCCGAAAGTTTGCTAGACAAGTAGCAGAGAGCCTCATTCAAAGGAATCATTCATTTCATGTGTTTGCCGCCGAAGAGACAGAGTTCGACCATCCTACCAAAAGGCGGAGACTAGGTCAAAAGAGCTCCGTCAGGCAGATTCGTTTGCAGAATCCAAATCTCACGTGGGAGGACGTGATGGCTGAAGCAGATCAAGTAGCTGACAGGGTGGGTCCGTCAGTCATTCAATCGGGTGATCTTCATGAAGCAGTCCAACGCATGTGTCCAAACCATGATGTGAAGCACCTAGTTCTATGTAAGGGTACAGATAGGATGATGGGTCCAAACACAACCATGTATCCAGGTGAAGCCCCTCTAAGAAGAATGATCTGTATCCGAAGAAGATATGAGACAATAGAAGTAGAAGATGAATGGGAACCCTGGGAAAGACTATCATACTTGAAGCTTCGCCGTAAATGCACACCAGCGAGAGTGAACCTGGCGATTTTTGCTAAGTCTCGTCCGCTGTCACCAGAGACCGATGCCGGTGCGGATGAGTCCATTCGAAACCCAACAGGAAAGAGGGCATCAGCCACGGAATCTGAAGACCGTGAGCCAGACTTGAAAAGAAGCAAAACCAACCAGGAAGAAGGAAAACACCAACAATCAACAAGTGAGAACACCAGAGAAGAAATCGATCTATCAAGCACTAAGCACGGTCCAAAGATGCTGTCGTTGAAGCCCGACCAACGAGTATGGCTGATCAAGATCCACAAAAACCTTGGTCATCCAGGTGCGGCAAAGATGCAGGCCTTTTGCAAGCAGATGATGCGCCCCCCTGAAGTGATAGAAGCAATACCCCACATCAAGTGTTCAACTTGCATTGAGTCAAAGGGTCCAGCAATCCCTCGACCATCGGTAATTCATGAAGAAAAAGATTTTGGGGACATTGTTTCAATGGACAGGGTGACATGGACCAACAAGAAAGGCAAACAGTTCCATTTTTACCACTTTGTTGATCATGGTACGACGTTTCAGACCGCCACTTGTGCTCCATGCCGGAACTCAGAAGCCGCTCAAAAGGCTTTGACCTCAGGTTGGATAGCATGGGCAGGTGCGCCAGGTCTGCTGTGTCTCGACTCCGCCACTGAATTTGGGACAGATCAGTTCTTAGAATTTCTCCAGAAACATGGCATCAAAGAACGAATGATCCGTCCAGAAGCGTCATGGCAGAATTCTAGGGCTGAAAGACATGGTGGTATCCTCCAAGAAATAATCACCAAAATGGACCTAGAAGAGAGCATCGAAACGTACGACCAACTGGAGACGTGTTTGGCATTTGCAACACAAACCAAAAATCAATGGAGTCGTCACAGAGGCTTCCCACCGGAAATTCTAGTGTTTGGTAAGCTTCGCAAATACTCCGCCTCCGTATCGAGTGATTTGGAAAGAACAGCACATTCGGTCACAGAGTCCCAATCTGCAGAAGGCATTCGATTCCATGAAGAACTTGCTATCAGGGAAAGAGCCAGAAAACCGTTCAGCCAGGTGGACAACAGCCAGGCAATGCGCAGAACCATCCTGCAAAGATCGAGACCCAGCCGAGATCAGTATCATTCAGGGGAATGGGTAATGCTGTGGAGAGAAAATCAAAAATGGATAGGTCCCCTCAAAGTAGTGATGCAGGAAGACCATAATGTAATCTGGCTAAGCATGGGAAACGGCCTGTACAAAGCAGCGCCAGAGCAGATTCGACCAGTGACCGCGGTAGAAGAGACCGAGCTGAAAGACAAGGCATCTCAGGAATCAACGGGATTTCCCAGAATGCCTCAGAACTTTCGAGATGTAACAAATGAAACATTTCCTCAGAGTAGCTTTCCAGCTACAGGGCCAGAGAGTCAGAACCTAAGTGAAAATGGTCCAGAAAACATCGCATCCAACCCGTCGGCCACAGGTTCTGAACAACCAGACAATGAACCAGAAATACCTACCTCAAGTGGCGCTCCTTCAGAGTCGCCAAGCCATGCCGAAGCAGTCCTGCCCGAAAAAGTCCATCTCCCTGTGGAGAGCGAAGATGACTTAGTCTGTGAAAGCTTTTCGGTAGACACTCATCAAGTACGGCAATATGAAATCCCCATGAACCGAAGAGACTTGATAGCAATGACCAATTGCTCAACACCAGAAGAGACAGTGTCATTTTTAGCAACAACAGCAAAACGACAGAAAGTAGAAGTAAAGCTGTCATTGTTAGGAAGCAAAGACCGACAGTTGTTTGAACAGACCAAAACAAAAGAAATCAACAGCTGGTTAGATACCAACACGGTCTCAAGAATTCTCAGAAACAAGATCCCTCGGGAAAATATCCTGAGACGTCGTTGGATCTTGACATGGAAAGACAGTGAGAACAATACGCACCTGACAAATGACATCGCTGTCGGCAACACCAACAGAACTCCAAAAGCCAGACTAGTAGTCCTTGGATACGAAGACCACAGTCTTCACTTGATTCAACGTGACTCACCCACTTTGTCGAAGTTAGGCCGGTCGCTTCTGTTGCAGTATGCGGCGTCTTGCAAGTGGCACATTGCATCATTTGATGTCAAAACTGCCTTTTTGCGGGGCACTGCCGATGGAGACCGACTACTCGGACAGGAACCACCAGAAGAAATGAAAGAATCATGAAACTTGGTCCGAATGAAATAGTCCAATTACAAAAGTGCGCATACGGGAGAGCGGATGCTCCGTTACTCTGGTTCAGAGAGTTGTCTAAGGGACTAGTAGAACTGGGATTTAAGCCTTCTCCCATGGACAGCTGCCTGTTTGCTCTCCCAAACGAAAAGGGTGAGACAATTGGTCTTGTTGGGGTCCATGTTGATGATGGGATATATTGTGGAACCCCTGAAATGCATGAGAAGATCCGACAATTGTCCAAACGGTTCCCTTTTGGAAGCCAAAAGCATACAGATTTCGTATTCACCGGTCTTCACATTTCCCAACAGGAAGACTTCTCGATTCACGTGGATCAAACTGAATATGTAAAAGGCATCAAACCGGTCCATGTGTCCAGTGATCGCAGGAAAACACCAGACGATCCCATAACGGAAACAGGAAGACAAGCACTCAGAGCGGTGATAGGCAGTTTGCTCTATGCAGGGGTTAACACGAGACCTGACCTATGTAGTCGCCTTGGAAACCTCCAAAGTAAGATAAATAATGGTCAGGTAAAAGACTTACAGGAAGCAAATAGAACATTGCATGAAGCAAAAACAAACGCCGGTGTCACCATCAAATATCAAAGCATTGAGAAGAAAGACCTGCGATTTGTGACTTTCTCAGATGCATCTTTTGCATCCGAAAAGAACCATAGCTCCCATCAAGGTCTTTTGATCATGGCAAGCCACAAAAACATAGCTAATAACCAAGAGGGTCCAGTTAACCCAATCATTTGGGCTTCACGCAAAATCCAAAAGGTCGCTGTGAGCACACTGTCAGCCGAAGCCATGTCACTGGCAAGCGCAGTAGACATTCTTTCCTGGGTTCGCTTGTTCTGGGCCTGGCTCATCGACAACACATGCGAATGGAAGCTTGGAGACAAGACACTCCTGAAATTGCCTCCAGCATTTTCGACGCTGTGTGAAAAGGACTTGACAGACCCAAATGAATCATTGTGCCAATCAAAACAAGCCCTAGATCGCATAGAGACCTCAGAAGCAACAACCATAACGGACTGCAAATCACTCTCTCAGAGTACAGAACCTTGCTCCAAGCAAAACTGATCAAGGAACAACTGAGCACTGGTATCCACCTGAGATGGGTTCCCACTGTCGCTCAGCTCGCTGATTGTCTAACTAAGATTATGGACAATTCAGTCATTCGCGCCGTACTCAAATATGGAGTGCACAAGTTGTTCGACGAAGGAGAGATTCTTCGTAAAAGGGCCAATACCAGAACCAGAATGCAATGGCTGAGACAGAATCTGGAAAAGCCAAGTCGTCCAGAAGCGGTCGAAGCCACTTCTTGAAAGCCAAGACCGATCCCTAGGGAATGTCTCGGATCACTTTGAGAAGTGAAGACGGGGGAAGTAGTGTGAACACTACAAAGGGGAGAGGGAAGTCAAAGCTTGAGCAAGAAGTCTCTTTTGTAAGCGCCTACCCACCTTGCTTCAAACATGTTCGACAGCAATAAATAAAGAAAGACGTATTTCGAAGAATACCCTGTCACATGATGAAGCATTCCTGTTTGCCGTCGTCGCCACCTACCATCTCAAGAGGTGGGTGGGAGGGTTCATGAGCCTGTGCCGTACACCGGAAAACGTGCGGCTGGGCATTGGCTACGGAAGGGCGGAAACCATTGGTTGTGCAGGGCACTTTTGAGGGTTGTATACATTGTGGTGCAGGGCACCTTGGTTCTTTTACATTGACAGTGGTCATTGTTGTTGACGGACGTGGTCGTCCAGGTTGAGAAGGAAGGGTTCCGTCTACCAATCACATTTGTGAATATATAGTCTTCATCATACAAACCCACATGAAGCTCCCGGTCCTGAACCAGCTGCTGCACCGCCTCGTTCACTTCTCCGAACCTGATAAAAAGCGTGCGGAGAAGGAGCCGAACCTGCTCGGATCCACAGGTTTTGCTCGGGAGCTCCGTGGGGGGTCGCTTGGAAGGGTCTGGGGAGCCTTTTGGTTCACCAGTCATGCCACCCAGCACACCCAGTCATCCCATGAACAGGTGGATCATTTCTTGACGCGCGTGATCTAGTGGGCTTTTCGGGCTGATCCAATGGTTTTTCGGAAGCGGGGATTGGTGAAGTCTTTCACCTGACAAGGATCCTCTGACCTTGTCACCGAATTGTATAAGCCTTCTTCATTAAGGGATGGAAAAAGAGTCGTTGCTGCAAGAAACTACGGACTTAATTGAAATGAACTGTGAACTGAGGGTGACTCCAAATTTGAAACAAGTATCTCAAGGATCCTCAAGGTAGTTTTGCTAACTTCCCCTTCCAACCTAGAACAAATCCCCACCAGAAAAGATCCAACTAGACTTGCTCATCCATTTTCCCTGCGTATTGTTTGCTCCATGTAATCTCATAGCTGCGGGTGAGAGCTTGTACTCTGGCAAAATGCTCTGCTCCTATGACTTTGGAACTTTCGTCTCGTGTTTCCTGAATTCCCTTTCCAGAAGCGGAACAAACTGCGGCCCGGACGACCTGTTCCCAACACCCTCCCACCACTTTCTGCTGCCGCGATGCTTCTTGTAAAGCGAATCTTCCACACCCGAGTGCGCATCCCAGCCGCCATCCTCCACAAAAAAGAAGTCCCGCTCCGCCTGACGCTCCGCGCGGGCGGCAATCAGCGTGGCCGCCTTCTTGAACTGCGACTGCAACGGCTTGTACCTGGCTTGCCCATGAGATTTCGATCTGCCAAGTGAATGATCACGGGACTCTTTGTCTTTAATCGCGACAAAGGTATTCAAATCTCGCAAATACTTCAAAAAGACATCCGAAGTCGTCATTGGAATTATGTACAAGACTTAGATTATGTTGGAACATTTCCTGGATATAGACAAAATCATGCTTTTTGGCTGTCTTGGCAACGAGATCTGCCGCTGAAATACCCCACATGAGCCATGACCGTTCATGAAGTGTGTGGGATCGAATCATGCGCAAAGTCAATATGCAAACTCAAGAGTGCAAAGAACCGACTGCCTCGACCTGCATCAACTGCATCAACCAACCATGTTCCATCCTTTTTCTCTACAAACCAGGGGGGTGGTCCACTTCCACGTGTTTCTTCCAGAGGGAGCACACCGTCATATCCATATCGAACCAACGGCACCGGGTTAGTCGACTCTCATGCGACCCGGCGATCGATTGATCAATCGCCAGTTGCTTCTCTGAAACCGCTGTATAAATCGGTATAATGTATATCAGTGATTCGTCCCAGATTCTTGCCTCACCGCATGACAAACACCCACCTCCCCTCTTCACAGAAGCATAAGCGAAGCCAAACAAGAGACCAATCAGGCAATCTCAATCTCAACCAATCAACCATCCGCAACGCCCCATGGCTTCACAGCCAAGCAGTGCAGAAGCGGCACCCGTTGATCTCGTAGTCCGTCTGCAATTGGGCATTCTCCAGCTGCTTCTCCAGGCCCAGGTTGAAACTGATCGACTGCTGAAAGCGCTTCGCATATTCCTCACCTGCGCCGCCGACCGGTTCGGCGTCCGGGGCTCGTCTCCGCGACTGTCGGATGAACACGGATGAACCGCATCCAGCCCGATAGACTCGGACCCTTCATGGAGTTGCTTCTGGCCTGACCATCGTGTTTCTGCGCAGTGACAGCAGTGTGTCCCAACCCTGGAGAGTGGTGCCACGGACAGTAGGGAATGAGACGGAAAGTAGATCAGTGTTGCTTCAGACTCCATCCCTACAAGGTTCCTGGATGCTGGTAATCCAGCATAGTTGCTTCCAAGAAGTGAGTGCATGGGATCGAATCCACCTTCCTACAAGTCGCACCGAGGTCGCAGAACTAGGTCTTCACCGCATCACCGCCCCGCGGCTGTCGCTTCAGCAGCGGTGCGATGATGCACAGCCCCGGCTACCTTTTTTTCATACGGAAAGGGGTGAAAGAGCTCGTCGCACAGCCCAAGCGTCGCAGACCTACGCTGCAAACAAAAGAGATAGATAGATCAACTGCCAATGATCACTTATAGGAACCATTATATATAGGGGGTGGTCTTCCGCGTGCTGCGCGCATCGAAGCGATCGATGTCTCTCCACGCAAACATCTGCTCAACCAGGGTGCAATAGATGTTTCCATGCTGGGTGCCGGTGATGTTGTCAATGATGTCCTGCCACGTTTTGTCCTTTGCCCCCTGAAGACTTTCATTGCTTCGAGGAAAAGAATGCCCATACCAGTAAAACCCACACAGATCAAAATACCTTTGAGCTGCTCCTGAAAGTTTGTGCAACAAGAGGTAGCATCACTGCCGAAAAGGATAGGGCAAAGACACCATTCCTCCACTTGTTTCAACTCTGGATTACCAGCATCCCTTTTTGCATTTGTATAGTATCATTCTTGAAGGACTCCACTACAAGGGTTGCAAATACATCTCCGAGAAAGAACTCGTTGCCGACCAACCCAGCCGAGCCGATCCCATATCCGGGTCCAACCCCGCCTGGAGGGTCCAACATCTCGGGTTTGATCAATCAACTGCCAACCGAATACCCCTGATACCATCTCTTCGCTCCGGTTGGGTCACCGAATACACTATTTCTTATATAAATCTGGACCGATCCTCCACGACAGACTCTACAGACTTACCTCTACAGACTCTACAGACTTCGACCTCCAGACTTGTGCCCACCCAACAATCGGATGCGCACCGAACCCCACCCAACCGCTCCTTCAGCCGCTCATATTCCGGAAAGGCTGACTCGCCGGAGCTCTGTTGGCCTAAGACCTCTCCACTGATATCAAAGCCTTGTGGCCAAGTCGCCTGGTTCCGCATGGAGAAGGACGCCGTGTTGTAATCTCAGCGGCCACAGAACATGCCCCAACCCGTGCGGAGTGAGCTTCCAGGGGCTGGAGAAAAGGTGCTGCGCCTTTCTACAACCAAGAGGGTATATCCTTTGTGAAAAGAATGAACAAAGGCAGCTTCTGAGAATGAACTTCAGGCTGTGACCGGCTTCTAGTTTGCGTGGTAGCGAGCAAAATTCAAGGCGCGAACCATCCTGAAACCTCCGGTGCAACAGCAGATTCTGACGCCAACCTCCGTTCCCAGCATCCACTCGTCCACAGAACGTCTTGGAAACTCCATATCAGCCCAGTGACCTTTGGCCACCGCATCAGCAATGCGCCCGCCAGCGCCTTTAAATTCAGCCGAAGAGTACTGACAGGTGAGTGTCTCTGCTGCACGCTGCTGATCAGCATGGCTGAAGAGGCCCTGGCAGCAAGAAGAAGAGGCAATGGCAGAAATTGTGCACCACGCGGAAGACTAAAAGAGATTTAAAAAGAACAAAAGGCCGTGGGACATGTCCAGCACCAAAGCACTTGTGTCAACCTTTGGAAGTGATACCTAAGCACTAAGCACCTATCATCCCTGGTCAGCTTGAAGAAGCCATGTAAAAGGGGCCAATGAATTCTGTCTAACTTGTCCTTTGCCGTCGCTATTCATCATCCAGCTGCGTTCAGGACAGATCCAGCTGCAAGCAAGGCTTTGCTGTGCATCTGCTGTGCATCGGAAAAAAAATATCTAGACCTCTGTCAGCCAGACATGTTGTCAAACCAGATCTGCCTGCCAGGCCTGGTTACCTTACTCCTGAGACTCCACGCCGCTTTGTTTGACCAACGCGTCGACCTCTGCCGCGCCTGGCAGCGCTTCCCAGTGCCTCCCGTGGCATGAAAACCCGTGCCGATCATGTCCGGCGTCAGCGGCTCGACCAAGGACCCCACGTCATTCACGAAGGTCACCTGTCGTTCACGAAGGTTTCTGCATCACCAGGCGGCCGGGAGTTTCTGGGGTTTCTTGGCGGCGGGACTTCGTGGAAAACTCCAGTGTCAACCAAGAGAAAGACGGAAGAAAAGGCGTCCAGTTGCATGCTTCATAGTGTTCCAAATGGCTCTGCAGGCGGATTTTCGCCTCAACAACAGGGCCTGCATCCCCGCCCTCTGGGGCCCTGGTCCCCCAAATGACAGGAAGCACCCTCTCCAACGTTGACGCTTTGGAGCTCTCGCTCGCTCCGCCCGTCGGATCGCTCGCTCCGTCGGGGCTAGCTCCGGTCGGGAGAGTAGAGCCACCAAAGAGGTGGGTGAAACCATGGTGAAACCATGTGAAACAAGAATATTCTTGTTACGTTCGTAGCGATGCCCTTTGCTCCTACTAGCGAACATGGCTCCGTTCGTAGTATGGCCAGGAGCCCCGAGCAAGTAGCGTCCGATCGCTCCGTTCGTAGCGATGCCAGGAGCCCCTAGTAGCGTTCTTGTTCCTAGTACGTGCTGAAACGATGTGAAACCATATCTGTTTTGGCCCTTAGTGGGCCAGCTACCAAAGCAACCAAAAGCTCGGATGCTCTGAGCGACTGCTCCAGTCTGCGTGAACATGTTCCATCCCAACCCGAACGAGAAGTCTGAGAGATTTATGAAATCCAAGCCGTGTGAACATGTGGATTCCTCACCTCCCATCAACATCTGACCTCTCCGGCGCGTTTTGGCAGATCTCCATCAAACCCAACTTGCTTCTGACCCTGGCTGACCATTGGTTGAGCCAGGGTACCTTCTGCTCGTCATAAAGCTCCTTGATGAAGGGAAGCCGTGGGTGGATTCCAAAGTCAGTGCAGGGCTGGTTCTGCGCCTGAGGATAGATCAAGAGAGACTGTCGGATGTGGGTCAAGGAAAAGCCAGGTGTGACCATACGCCTCCTCCACCCCTGTTGGCACCCTGGCAACCAGATCCACAACAATATCATAAACCAAAAAGAACTGAGCACACTATATGATATATGCCTGTGGGTCAAACCGGGGACCCGAGTTGACCACCGATCGATACTTGCACACACGTCCCGCGCCACCCAAATGAACAGAATAGATTACCTGCCAGCTCAATATACCTTCTGCAAAATCGAGTACCTCGTGATGGCACTGCAGTTCCGCAGCTCGTGATGGCATCTCCCACCGGACCCACATCGAGTACCTCCATCCGCCGCATCCCGCTCACTGCCGTGCCTGGATCTTGTGGACCTCTTCGGGCAACAAGCTGATGCTCCGCCGCACAGTGGTGTACTCGTCGTACAAGGGGCAATTCAGGGGCACCAGCCTCGCTGGACACGGGCGCGCTGGACGAGTCCGGCGCTGTGGGAGGACCGTAAGAAGTACACACTGATCGAATCAAAGAGAAAGATGTTGCAAGCACATTCAAGATGTCATAAGTCATACATCACCTGTAACATACTATGGCAGAAGAACAGAAAGTGTTACATCTGCTGTGCCTCCAACAGAAAGTATTTTGGATGTTCTTCACACTGTGTGTAGGGCTTCATCATCCATCATGTCTCTTTGAGTGGCAAGAGGGTCAAGGCCAAGGGTCAGTCCAAGATTTGACTATGTCTTTCAAGGGCAAAACTTAGGGGATACCTAGGGGATCTTTTGTGGTGAGAGGGGCAGGGGTCAGATTTGACCATAGAAAACCCCTGGTGGAAAAAAATAAGACCCAAAGTCTGACCCAAACCTGCGGGTAAAAATGTCCCTGCTTCGGAAACCAGTCGTGTCTGGCCCTGGGGGTTGCGCCAGGGCTCATCTGAAAGCTGTCCATGCCACCCTTCAAGAACAGCATGATCACCGCCTTGTAGTCACTCCCCCCGCCGGACTGGGAGGGGGGCGGCGACGGAGGCCGCACACCACCTGCAGTCACGGTTCCCTGAGAGAAGCGGCAAAACTGTGGAACTGTGGAGTTATATGCATAAATATACTATATGTATTGTTTGTTTGAACCAATGGACCCACCCCGTTGCGGCCAAAAGAGGGTTGTACATCACTACCCCAAGTGCATCCGCTTGGATGGCTATCCTATGTATAGTCATCCCCATCTCTCCAGTTGAGAAAATGCAAAGGGGGTCCTCTTGGCCCTTGGCCACAAGCCGCCTTTCGTGGCCGAAAGCGCCCCATGTATGAAAGTGTTGGACCTTCCAAACCTATCATGTCAAGTTGGGCCCACGTCAACATGTTTGACACAAAACTGTAGCATAGCAGGTTACTTTGGCCAGGTTGATAGGTTTCTTTGGGCCACACTGACCACACCTGACATAGGATGGCCCATCGTGTTGAACTCCGGCGTCAAGACCATGGCTTTCTGCGCATCCTGCCAATCAGCCAACTCGGCTGAGTACCGACGTGCCAAGAGGATGCACAAGCGAGAGCAATGTGGCTACTTGTATGTCTCAAGAAGAACATGGAGATACCGGAAAAATCTGGTTCATGCCAATCTCATGCTCATGTCATGCCCACACAAATGTGTTGTTGATGTAGAAGAAACTGTGACACAAGCCCTTCAAAGATGGGCCGTCTCTTTGGCGATCCCTCCGTTGGTTCCGTTGGGAATCGGAGCGGCGATCTGAAGCCTCTGCTACGAACGGTGCCGAGTCTTAGCCTATGGATGCATATGGCATAAGGCATATGAGTGATGAAAATCTCTGTCCATTTTAGGGACCTCTGGTGGACGGTCAGGGGAGAGGCTGCCCCCAGAAGCTCTTTCCATTCGGAACCAGCCGGGGGGAAGGCCGACCCAAACCACAGATTTTGTCAAACCTCATATTAACTCCTATGTCTACGTGTAAGATGTATGGGTCGTCCTCATGGCGGTAGATGAAGAAGGACTTGTTTTGACTTCATGTTTCTAAGACCGCTGGTGACGAACCGGCCGATCCGCAGGGACGAACCGAAGGGTCAAACATCAGTCAACAAAAAAAGCCCCTCGTTCAGCCCTTCCGGGGCCGATAGCTGCGCCCTCCCTTCTTGACCATCTTCCCTACCATTGCGCCTTCCAACCATCGCGCTGGTAGGCTGCCTGGACCGCACCCTTGTTCTCCAGCCGCCCACCAGTCAGCAACAAATCCAGTTCCGGAAGCGAGGTCGCCATGTCATTGGGCGCGACCTGAATGTGCTGAGCTGCTGGGTGTGAACTCTCATGGGATCGGTGGAGCGAAGGAGCTGGCAGGACACGACTCCTTCCGAGCGCTTGCTGCTCAGAGATGTGATGGAAGACGATGTCAGGTCATGAGGCTACAGAAGTCTTCCCTTTCGATCGAAGGTGTTCTTTTTGGGAACAAACAGCTCCTCGGGAACACATAGGCAGTAGCAGCCTGCAGTTCTCTATGCGGCGCCTCCTGGAACGCAAAGGATCCTCCAGAAGAGCACTCGCTGTTGGGCACGCCAAAGCCTGGCACCAAGACAAAACACAACCACTGCAACAGGGGCAGAAAAGGATAAAAAAGAAGCATAGGAGGAGGAGGAGGAGGAAGAGGAGGAGGACTGGCAAAGAAGAAGAAGATCTCCAGCCACTAGATCACACTGCATTGTTTCAAACCGTTGAAATCTGCAAATTCCAACGACTGAAGAAGTTCCTTCCTCTCCATATCCACCACGAAGTCCCAAAAGACGAAGGACGGCATGGTTGATTTTGAAACCCCGATCTGCAGTACCGACCGACCCTTCCAGTACGCTTGTACGCGCTACCGAGCCCGGTCACACCTTGGTCACACTCCGCCAGTCCGTGGTCAATGAGGGACACCAAGCCGTTGGCGTAGGCCAAAGCATTCGGTGGAGTAAAGATCTGAAACTCAGGTGCCACCAGGCCTAGGCGGCATAACTCGGGTGCCACCAGGCCGGCCAGACTCTGAAAACATCCGGATGGGTGTTTTTGTGAGTCCTCCTTTTGGGGTCCATAGACGGAAAACAGCCGCCAACGTGACACCCAAAACCAGTTTCCCAATGGGGGTGTTGGTGATACCAACGTAATCGAGAGCCTCGCAAAAGACCCAAGGCCCTTGATGAGAATCGGCTTGTCCTAATGGGAGCTTCCTCTTTTTGAGACAGGAGTCTGGATGAAAACCGGAACAGCCGGCTAGTCCAGATACTCCATCAATCAAAGTAGCCGTCAGAAACACATGGTTTATAATCGACATGAGTTCCTAGGCGGACAAATGAACCCTCTTCCTACCTACTAGCCATGGCCTCCAACCTACTAGCAAAGGCCTCCAACCTAATGGAGAAAAAACGAGTACATAAAAACTCAGCACCATTTGGCCATAGTCTTGATTCTTCAGTGCCCAATAATGGAAATCTCAAATCGTAGAGAGGAAAAGAGATCCCTGAGCCTTCCTTGTTGCTGCACAGAAGGGCAAAAAAGCACAGCAGTTCAGTTTCATCTTAGTTGGTTCTGTTCGAAAATGATTTTCCAGCCTTCTGGAAAGTCTTCGGGCTCAAACTCAGGCAGGTAGAAGTTGAAGACGGTAGGAGATGCCTCGGACAGGGCATCCAGGGCATCTTTCCCTGTCTTTCCCTCTCTTGCCTGGGTAAAGGTCGTCCTATGAGCCTATGACGCCAAGAGTGGCTGTATGGAAGCCTGCATGGAAAAAGTCCCAAGGGGGTTGAGCACTAGTTGTTCTCCAGTTTACGCCCAGATCTTGGGGCAGGGGGCGCCCAGATCTTCAGCAAAATTCTGGTGATATTCTGCGGCCCCAGCGGCATAGGGGAACTCGCCGATGGCGTCGATCAAGTTGCGGATGAAGATGGGCCGACCTCGAATCTGGTATGAGGGTAAGATTGCTGGGGGAAACAGAGTCATTGCCCAGGCAGTATCCGCCAAACTTGCTAACTAGGGTCTATGAATTGGACCAAAGCCACTTGAAAGTGTCAGAACAGGGCCATTCTCCCTTCTCCCTTAGGGTCTATGAATTGGACCAAAGCCACTTGAAAGCGTCAGAACCATTCGCCCTTCTCCGTTCCGCCCATTTTGGGGATCTTGATCTTGGTCGGTCTTCGCCCACAACGAATGTTCTACTCCACAGAGGTATCACTGAAAGATACCATTTGGCACCTTCCTCTCTCTTTGGGCTCGCACCATCACTATTTTTCGATCCACCGGAGACTATCTATCGTACATGAAGGGCCGAATGGTCGAAAAGAAATCACTCGAGGGCCGTCATCACATCACGTGTCCCTTGGGAGGCCACGTGATGATCTCTCACACACTACACACACGACTCTATTCTCGTGAGAGGAGAGTTGGGAAGGGTGCTGGGGCCAGTGCTGGGCCAGTAGAGATCTCTTGGTGCAGAATCGATGACGTACGAGTCATGGTGCAAGGGCTGAACACTGTTGACACAAGTGGAGTGGACCCAGGAGTTCCAGTAGATTCAAGCAATTCTCCCTAGTTGAAAAGGTGCGAAACATATCATTTCTTTGCAAGTTGCTTTTTCCTTACCATTGATCAATCCTCTGTCAGCCGAGGTGCCCTCATCGTACTCCATGGAGCGCATCAAGTGGATCAGCTTCAAATAGGGCTCCCGAAGGGCTCCCTGATTGGGGCCCACGAGGCTCCGGGCCTCTGGATCCAGCAGCAGCGCCAAGATGGTGGCCTGGGTGTTCCAAGGAGCAACCTCGAGTCGAAAATGGTCGTGGAAACCTCGAAACAGAATCTATGATGCTGAGGTCTTCATCCTTCAAAGCGACCCCATCCTCTTTCTCCCCCATCCTCCCGCGCCTTCAAGTCCCCATAGCGGCCGTATTGCACGCCCTGATAGGCACCGCTCCGAAACGCATCGGCCACGTGGGTCACATAGCTCTTGGAGGGGTTCGAGGTCACGAAGCGCTGGATGAGGCGAAGAGCCACGAAGCTGGGGACGTTCGGATGCTCCAAAAGGTGATCCAACAAGGCTTCCACCTTGGAGATGAAGCGAGCTGGGATGGGATGGGACTCCAAAATAAAGCATGTAAAGTATGGAGCCCACAAGCCCAGCAGCAAGCCGAGAAAGCCCAGCTGGGGGTGTTGGTTTTGTTTGTTTCTTTTTTCTGGGGTTCTTCCAACCGTAAGTCCCCACCACCTTCGCGTTTCTCCCGGTCGCCTCGAAGAGGGCATCGCGCGCGGTCGGCGCGGCGGCGTCCATGAAGACGGGAGGGTTCTGCAACGTGGCCCCGCCGGCGTGCAGCACGTGGACACCGGCCTTTCGTGGAGACCGGCGTTGAGAGGTAGGCATAGAAGATCTAGAGAATCCCAACGCATCGTCTTCGTGTTGTTTCAGTGTTTCTGGTTGCTGAAACTACACAGCTTGACCTGACTCAACGAGATGAAAGGCTGCGAAATCAACGAAATCTGCAGTTAAAGAAGAGATGATGCAAGCAACGCCCAAAAGTCTCAACCCCATCCAACTTGCACAAGTGGGGGTCAACGACATGCGGTGAAACTTCCCCAGTCACCTGTTGATCCAGGGTCAAAGGGCAGAGACACCCGCCATCACTTGGGCTGCACCCACTGGGGCAGGATCCTGAGCGCAACCGGGTCTGGTTGTATGTACTAAAGTACGGCCAGGGGGGCTCCCTATTAAAATACACTACGAACACATACACTGCATCATGGATGGCACCCGGTCGTTCGATCTTCCCAGGGGCCTAGCCTACCACTTCCGGTCGTTAGTGGGTCAGAGTGTAAAAGAATAGCTTGAACATGGCCAAAGTCTCCACTTTCCGGCGGAGCTCCAGAAAGCCAGTGTCCTAAAAACGGGTTCTGCGCCGTCTGGCTGTTCCGATTGGAGCTGATCTCGCCATTGGGATACAGGATCACCTGCGCAAGAAGACGAGGATTGAGGACACAGATCCATGGGATTGCCCCACATGTTCGCTCAAGGTTCGACTTCAGGATCCCATCACTACCTCTAGTTGGCCCAGCTCCTCCTCAGTGTTTCCAACATCGCCAACCCGATGTGTCTTGTTTCGCATGTGTTTGGCCTCTCCGCTGCGGAAGAAGAGCTCCACACAGGCGGGTCTTTGGAATTCATAAAAGCCGTCACGCACCAGGATCGTGGTCACGTCGCTGGCCGAGCACTCGTTTTCGAAGCAGGGCCTCACTTGCTGGACTGATTCATGGACCAATTGAGTCCAGGATCAAACATCGTTCGAGTTCTTTTTCATCCCCCACGAGGCGCTTGGGGCATCCTGGATGCGGCCCGCCAACGGTCGCGCGGCCGCGCCACGCTTCGCATGCTCCGATCGTGCGGGGGTTTGTTTAAGGATCCTCAAGACAGTGCTCCCATTGGACCTGAGTTTTGGCCACCTGAGCAAGTCGACAACACCAGGGTCTACATGACCACTGTACTCCCTCAACTGGCTCACCGCGCTGACTGCCCTATCCACCAATCCACCACAAGGCCTCCGCCTTGCGAAAGGGAACCATTGGGCGGGTCGCATCCGCTAGCTGCCACAACCTCCAAGTCCTAGAGATCCGAAATGAGAAGTCCCTCCACTCCAAGTCCAGGCCTCGCTAGAGAGAAAACTCTCTCTCTGCGTTTGGTGACCACGGCTATCACTAGAGCGGGAAGAACATGAAACGTCCACACCCAATTGCTTCGTGGAACTCCCAATTGCTTCGTTGACCGCGGTCTTTTTCGCCCTTGGACCGACGGTCGGACGGAGGGAGGGATCCGACTCTTCTCCCAAGTAGCTAATTAGTTCAACAAGAAAAACTGCACAAAGAAAAGACAAAAAAACTACAAGTCTATTGGGTGGTTTGCTTTTTGTGTCGATTCTTTCGCACCACGGAAGTCTCCAGACTTCCCCCAAATGAAGCCACTGGAGGTCTGGAGGTCGGCTCAAACACCTCTCGGTCTTTGACACCGAGGCACAGAGTCTCCATGAGTTCCGTCTGAAGCCGATGGTTGCAGACCTGCGGATGGGAAGCGACGAACCCTTCTGAAAGCATGTCCAACCCTGTTCACCATGCGAGCCGATGCTCGAACCCTTCACCACGTTTGAACCCTTTGAATCAATTCATACCTATTCAATATAAATTCACCATGTCCATGTCCCACCGACCGGAAAACAAAAAAAGTATATTATGGTCCCACCAAATGCTTGGGGTTGGGAGGACGACAAAGTGATGAAGACTTGTGAACTTGTTCCTTATTTGGATGGTGTGTGCCAGATCTGTTGCCAGATCTTCCAACTCTTCGCACCTTTGGTACTCACCAACCGTTACACAGCTCGGCTCGCCGCCTCGGCACCTCCACAGAGCTTCTGATACAGCGGCGAGGCCGCCTCAACCCCGATGGAGCCCGACGGGCGACCGATGCGCCGCCAACGCCGCAGAGCACACTCCCCCAAAGGAAACTTAGATACTTCCGAGATCTTCTGAGAGCGCTGCCTTTGTCAGTTGAATACCGAGCTCACTCCTCCCACTGAACTCTCTGCCTCCCTCACCAGCCAAGGGGCGGCCAGGACAAGTGCTTGGCCCGAATGCTCATAGCCCAAGAACCGATACTTGGCGCCTTCTTGCAAGAAGTTGGAGTTCAATTGCTCGCTGCAGAGGGGATATCCATCCCCCAGGTATCCGCCATCCAGCTTGGGCTTGGGATAGACATCGTGCCATTCTGCTCTCATCTGCATTGGATCGATCATGTTGCTCTTGCCTTCCACATGCTCGATGTTTCCCCGCTCCGCTTGCTCGTCAAAGCCCGTGAAGACACGCGCGAAGTTCATGATGTCCCTGAAGACACGACGCGAAAGCGTAGCTTGGGCTCCGCGGGGGGGGTTTTCGGAGCTCAAGCCATAAGAAGCTCGGTGGTTTTCCGAAGAGTTGGCGCAGCTGGCGCACCCGTCGGAATGGGGAGGAACCTCCATGCGTGGAATGTGTCGGGAAACCTCCATGCGATCAGGAGATCCGATGAGATTCTCCTCAGAAATTGGGGGATCTTGAACCAGGACTAGGGGTGGGTCGAGCGATAGCCGGGCTGCAGCTCTGACCCCTGGCTTTACCCCAGGTGTTTCCCCAGAAGAATTGAAAAAATTGAGTCTACAGTATTTACTACTGTAAAGGTTTGATCCAGAATCCAGAAGCTTCGAAAGCAGGGTATGGGTCTATAGAGTACCTAAGGTGTTTGACCCGGAATCTCAGTCCGCACTCTCGCCTGTTGCTGTAAGTCGGCACAGGCTCTCCATCTTCCAGAATTCTCGAGCCATCCGAGTTGAGCTTCCACAAGCCGATGGTAAACCTGTGGCAGGTCACAGCTCACACCTGCAAAAACACCCTGGAGGCAGTGAATCAAGATGATCCTATTCATTTCATTCTTGGCGTGTTCACCTGGTCCTATGGGCTGACTGAAGCTCCACGATGCGCTGCTTCACAACTCTGCTGAAGCTTGGCCGGATGCGCCATCGGAGCGGTTTTCCCGACGGAACGTCTGTGGGTCTTCCGGGGAAGGCAGGTGACATGGGTGAATGGCAAAAGCCGGCAACAGGTGTTTCAATGTGTTTCGATTCGATCATCGAATCATTGCACACTTTCCAAAAATTGGCACCTCCTTGGAATCATTGATCCCAGGGGCCTACCTTGATCTCTGCTCAAAGCTGAGCCAAGCCACAATTGCTGGATTTCACGCGCGTAGTTCTCGTCGGGGTAGACCCCGTCGCTGTCGAAGGCCCTGTTACGCTTGTAGGTCAGGTAGTCACCTGAGACGCCGACCGCAGCGCAACAGACGTTGACGGGTTTTAAAAAATAGATCTCCCAATAAACTGACAACATGCGTAATCTCAAAAACTGGCAAAAGAAAGAAAGAAAGAAACATCAGCCACGTGGCCCATTACAGGGCTGTAGGTCACCTCCGGCCGGTGTCCAGGGTGGAACCAACCGCGAGAGAAACGCTTTCACGCGCGCTACAACAACAAGGTATCGGCCATGAAATGGAATACAGTACCCAAATCGATTCAAGAGCCAATCAAATGACAAGCATATCGGCCAGCAGCGGGACACACTAGTTCCAACCTTGGCAGGACTCCAGGATTCCACCCTTTTCGGTGGTTGATCAGGAAAGGTGTGTTCTTTCGATGACGTTTTGGTCCAAGATTTGCTTCAAAACGTCTTCTTTCGCCCGCGGGGGTTCGTTGCGAAGCCTCGAAGATGTCGAAGCCTCTCTGTCAACATCCCGTCCATTCCCTTCCCGCTTGATCAGGGTGGAAGGGATGTTGGGCTGTTTTTTCCTTTCCCAATTGATTCTCATCCATTCCCACTTGAGAATGTTCCATTGATCGTTTTGGGAAGTTTGTAGACTGACCCAAATCCGTCAGTTTTTGGCCACCCAGATCCGTTGGACACAGTCGAACGACCGTTCGACATGGGACACCTTTGGCTGTGGAGAGTCTTGAGAGATGAGAGAACCAGGGTCCTAGGACACCATGAATGAGTCACCAAAAGTTTGAATCCTTGGGGCAAAGCGATTGTGAGCTAGACCGCACTTCTTGATCACCTCCTCACTATCGAAACCAGCATGGACATGCGATCTTCCCGCCCGACGGTGCCAGGAGTTGTGGTCTTCACCCAAGAAACGCCCCCCGCCTCTCGCAGAATGTCCCGGAAGTTCCCAAAAGCGTGACGAACAAAGATGTCGTAGTAGTTCACGTACCTGGCCGGACCAGAAACCGAAACCCAACAATCGAAGAAGATCCGCTCTGGGTCGCCACTGGCAAGAGATTTAACACAAAAAACCGTTGTGTTGCATCAACAAGCCGCCGACAGATCACAGCCGGGGCTTCAAATTGCTTTGTCTATCCTCTCAAACCCTTCATCCACCCAAGGCTCTGGTTTCTGGCTCGAAAAAGTGCGTGACCGAGTATCAGCTGACGTGTGGCGAACGGACGAACCAACTCCCCAGCTCAGATGGTTCAGGCTCAACATGAACCAAATGAACCTACCACCCTAGCTTCCAAGACCCTTAAAACAAAGATTGACCGGTTGTGTGGTGTAAAATCCTCAGTAAAGCAATGGTGGTTCAGTGGTTAGGCTATTAAATCAATGGTGGTTCGGTAAAGCCGAGGGAACAGCCTAGCCCTATGAATCTACGACGCAGCCACATGCATCTCCGGGGCACATCTCTGTGTAGTTCCCGCTTGCATCATCCGGCGCCACAACGAAGATCTGTGACAAGGCCCAGGCCATGCGCTGCCGCAGCTGATCGGGTGCCTCGCCGAGACGACGCCCAATTGGTCGGTCAAGGCCCTCTCAAGAGAATCGTTCACCTAATAGCAACGGTCTCCAACCTGATAGCGATGGCCTCCAACCTAAGAGAATCGTCCAGAGAGATTGGTGGGGAAACCGCGGACGAGCCCTGATCTTGATTCGACGAACACAAACACCGCTGCAAGTGAACGACCCGTGTCTTCAACATCCAAAAACCGGTCGGACACGCACCACACGCACCACCCGCATCCGCCCCACATCGATGGCCTTGAGAGCTTGCATCGTCCAGATGGATGCCCGGCTCAGCATCGGCACGTCATAGACCTCTTTACTCTTTACAACGAAGGACGCATCAAGCCGTCGGTCCGACCGAAGAACCGTTGGTGGGGGGAGTCGAGAAGACGAACCGCGCAGTTGGGACGACCACTGGTGTCGTCTCCCCGACGGGCGGCAGTCGAGAGCAGAGACCATCTAGCGTTGCTTGTGAAATCCAAAGAGTTCGGGGCGAGGCATGCTCAAGGAACACTGTTGGACCTTGTTTTTTCCGGGAAACATCTACTTGACACATATTTAGAGTAGGAGGAAATGAATTTCAGAAGATTGGACAATTAGTGCATGGTTGGTGCTGCAGTGCTGCATGACTTTCTCCTCATGGAAGAACTCCTTAATCTGTTCCTCGGCAAACCCTTCAGCCTCAAACTGATCCTCTGCGGCTTAACAAAGCAGTACCAGAGAACGTTCCTCTCTGCTTCTCTCCTCCCAGTGGCCGAGTCATAGTTCACATCGAAGGTCAAGTTCAGCGGAGCATCCTCCAGAACAGGAAGTGCTCATGGAATTGTCCAGAGAATTTTTTGGGGCATGGCACGACAAGGCTCCAAACTCCCGATACTTGTGTCCACCGAAAAAAATCATGCTTGATGCACTGATCTGAAGATCACCATACTTGGAACTGTCTTGAACTACTTGTTACCTTTAATTGCCCACAGCTTTGAACCCGACAAAGCAGCAACCTGCACCGGGCACCTTCGTGTGGAAGGGGTAGAAATGCCCGAGGCGCTCCTCGGACGCGGGCGCCCCGGGGGCGCCCCGGGTGCGCTGGACGACATGAAACAGACTGAACAGAAAACTCCCAAGTCATGGCACTCAAGGGGACAACGCCATGTCATGGTGTTTTTCCGTTGATCAAGTGACTATTTAGAGATAGATAGGGTTTTAGAAAACAAGGAACATGTTGTTCAACATGTCTAAAGTAGCACGCGATTGATCACGGGCGGACCTTTTTTCAAGACCAAGTGGGTAAAAAAATTGCTCGTACTGGAAGCTTCACGCTATAGCTGCTAGAGACCGTAAACCTGATAAACCTTACAATTAAGCTGTGGAATACCTCCGCAATGAAGAGTCTACCCAATTACAAAGAGATGACAGAAGACTTGATCACAAATACTGTAATGAACCATTCAAAATTCAAGCCATCAACAAAATACCTTTTCACCCAAAGGAAAAGCAACATACCGCCCCAACCATATTAGCTATACTACCAACCCCCCGGCCAGAAACTCCAACTCCAGCTCACCTCCGGTCCCAACCACCCCAAAGAAGAGTGGCGCACGACCGCCTTCCGCGTCGCACGCACCCCGCCAGCGTCAGACGCCCCTGCCACGATCGAGCGGCGGCGACCTCACCCGGAGATCCACAGACCTCCGCGAAGTTCGACGGCCGCGTGCCCAGGGCGCCAAAGGCGGCGCCCACGCGCACGGTTTGCAGCGGTTGAGGGAGGCTCCTAGAGGGGGGCGCGGGTGGGGGACGGGTGAGGCACTTAGTGTGGTTTGTGGAAAAGAGAACACATAAGGTGTTGGGCAGAGTTTGGGAGAAATTTAAAGGTTCTGCTAGCGTTCGAAACCTATTCAGGGTTGCCCTATCGAGGAAGGCATGTTCCGTGGGAGTCAGGTTGGCAAGGGTGATTTTTGGTTCAAGGAAAACATCGCAAAAGAACAGGCTGAGGTTGGCATGCGCTCACTCCTGATCTTCACAACCAAAAGGCAAAGTAAAGTACTTTTGTACAGACAAAAGTTCAAGAGGTCCTGGATGACATACATAAAACTAGTCAAGTACTTCAATCTTCATGGTTGTTGAAGAAGCTACCACTGTTCAATTGCAAAGCCGGGCCTAATCTCATGCCAGTCAATTGCAAAAACTTAACCAAAGAAAACTCACAAGGCAAAGATGTCCAGCTTCCACATGAGTTGTGAGCAGGGGGCAACAACAGCTTGATACCACAAACCATGACGCTCACAGCCACACACAACGGCTCCTAATATCCATGGTCTTGCCAAAGATACCCACCAGATTTGGCCAAAGATACCTGATGTTCCAGTGGATGCAGCCGAGTGGTTTTTCCATGGGGTCGTTTCAGTTATTGAAGCTTCACCTGATGCAGCTTGAGGTTTCTCCAGGCAAATGGTGCGACAAAGCACTGGATGCTTTCAATGAGAAGGTGGACATAACTGGCTGATGCCGGCTTCTGCATGATGCCAGGTCAAACGGACCGGGGCTAAGGCTCTTTCTGCGCAGCTACTTCTCTCAGCTCGGAAGATGATCTTGTTATTCTTGACATGAACTACCCACATGCTCACTAGTGACTATGTAGTGCTCCCTCGTAGTTCCTTCTTGGAAGATGCCGAACATTACCTAACACCATCAAAAGGGGTCCTTGGTGTTGGCAGGCAGTATGAACTAGAAAGGGTTATTATATAAGTTGTTCAGTCCTTCGATATGTAGGGACAACATCAATGGCAAATAACTGATGAAGATCCTATGCCTGGGACCCACAACTTTCCTCACCATTTCCCTATCTGGCTGTTTAGCAGAGGACAAGCGTTTCGTGCGTATCAAAAACAGTTTCCCTAACCTGATCCCAACGAAAGAATATGCAAAACCTTCCCGTGTCCCTTACCTTTCTCTTTCACCAAAGCCACTCTTTGGCCAGCGCAGACTCAAAGCGACCAATGGGGTGAGAAGCGGGATAGCGCCTCGGGGCGTGGAAGAAGGTCAAGGCTCAACAAAGCTGGGCCCAAGTGTCGGAGGACCCCTGCACTAGTTGGAGTTGTTGGATCCATCTAAAATCTAAGCTAGTCACCCCTGTGCTTGTAGATCTCACCTGCCTACCACAGTTCGTTGCAATAGTTTCACTCAACAACTCAACGCACAAGACAAGACACAATGGCTGGGTTGAAAATCAACTGCAAAATTTGACGATGTATTTATTCCACTCAGCTAGGACACAAGACGTAGCCACTGGACGTCCACTTCCGGATCTTGTCTGCTCCACCTGGATGTTCTCTCACCCATTCCGAAAAAATCATAGACGTTTTGCTCGCTGGAGTGAACGTGCTGGAAGAACTCCGACCCCACCTGCACCACAACGCCACTGGGCACGGAGGAGACACAACCTGGGCGCCGCAGGCGCCGAACGAAGCACTCTGACTGTGAGGACCATGGGGAGAACCAGCACTTACATCAAAGAACTGCTGCAACTACGACACATTCGTTCATGCATCAGATTCCATCAGCAGGGGGGCATGCGGAGCTTGACATGAAAAGGATTCACCCCTAGCGATTTGGGGCAGTTGGCCGCCCAAGTAAATCAAATTCTTCCAGTCTGATCTATGCTAAGGTACTGATTGCAATGTCCCTCACAACACCTTGGCCAGCCTGTAGAGCAGTGCTGATCGACAAAGCATCCGCGGCATCCATTGCGGAACCGCTGCAACCGCCAGAACAGTCCAGTAACTTCCAACGAGAGGGCTCTCCACATGGCAAACTCGTGGGAGTGAGATCTGTCACAGCATAGACATAGCGGCCTTCCACTTCGTAGAACGTTTGGAGGACGCTCACGTTCAGCTCAATTTGGACCTCTTTGGAACGGCACGGAAGCGCACGAATGGATGGACTGTGGAGATACGAAACGAACAAGCGTTCATGAACCAAACATGTTTTGATTGGATGCGATCCAGGTTGCACTCTCCAGTTGCAATGGTGCACAGCCCAGCAGCAGCTGACACCCAGCTTCATTCAGGAAGGTCCTCAAAGGGGGAGATGAGCCTGAGCATAAACAGTTTGTTGCAAGGACGACTATATACCTCTATATTCTATAGTTTAAGACCCTCCTAGAGGCTAGAGGAAGGTATATAGGTCCAACAAAGAGCAACTCAATCATGTCAAACGTAACATATCTTTGTTGACGCCACATCTTGCTAAACATATCAAACATGATCAAACTAGTCAATCATCTGCAGAAACATCCAGCATCCAAACCCTCCCCTCCTGGGCACAGAAGGGCACTCGCCCCCACGCCACGTCTCAGCGCTGGCCGGAGCCTCGACCGTGTTCGCCACCAACGTGTGGGCTCCACTCCCGGAGCCGGAACCTCCGGTGGCGCGCTCGCGGTAGAAGGCGCGGTGGAAGCTGGGCTCCAGGTCAAACTGCTGCTGGATCCAATCTTCAGGGCCTTGGATCTGTCGGGGAAGAGACATGTAGACCCCCGGTAAGGAGTAAGGCCATCCACTCTGGCTCGTCAACCTGCATTCCAAACCGGCTCTAACCCATCAATTTCTAGAACTCCCAATCCGCATCAGCAATGATCCGCCCCGCTAAAATGAGCCCCAAATACAAGGTCTCAATGAAATCAAACCGCCCCAACAACCGCCGAAGTACTAGTCGATCCAAGCTCTAGGAGACTGGCGCGCGTTGGTCCAAAAGTGGCCTGAATCAGAAATTGTGAATCTGCCTGCAACTCGGGAGAAGCTGAGGTAAATGAAGTGGTGGTCGTCGTAGTTTTGCACTGGGAGTAGTAAGGTCCACCATAGATGCACCACCAACCATCTTCGCAACATGTGGCGCCCGTATAGCCTTTGCCACCACACTTCTCATAACGTTTCTTGCATTGAACGGTTGTAGTGGTGTCAGTCGTAGTTGCCGAGCTTGAAGTTGTGCTTGTGCTGGATCCCCCGGAGACAGTCGTTGTTTCGACGAGCGTGGTCGTCGTGGTCGTGGCAGTTGTGGTGGTCGCACCAGTCGTTGTGGTCCCCGTGGTCGTTGTGGGAGCTGTGGTTGTGGTTGAAGGCGTGGTCGTTGTTGCAGCTGTCGTGGTTGCAACTGTCGTTGTTGTGGTTGCAGCAGTGGTTGTGCTTGTTGTGCTTCCTGTTGAGCTTGTGGTTGTGCTGGTATCAGGCTTGCAGCCTGAGTAGTAGTCGTTGTCGAAGACCTTCATGCCAACAATGTAATCCAAAAACTATTGCTCACATGTTCTTCAAATCAACAGTCTTCCTAGCCCATATGTACAGCCATGTTGTCACATGAAACTGCATGCTGCTGTCGCAAATTGAGACGAACCCTGACTACACCTACTCTCCAACTCACTCACATGGAAGTGGAAACCCCCGTTGTTTGTAGAGGCAAAGCCTTCTCTCGACTTCTCTTTTTTTGGATGGAGTGCACCCTTTCGAAGACCTTAGTCCCTTGGCCAAGAAACACAAATGCTTCCAGCTTCACAACATCTGGGGCCCTTCCAGTTTCGCCCGCCACACTGCCGGTAGAGCTGGGCGAATTCTGTGCCCGGCGCATCACAATCCAAGGGTAGGGTAGTGGTGGGTTGACTTGACACATTGCACTGAGAATAAAAGTCGTTCAAGAAAACCTTGCAGGATGGGGCACCCATGGGTTTTGCAGAGGACCTAATTCGAAAAGGGGGAAAAGCATCTGCCCTTTGCATACCTGGAAGACCTTAAGAAATGTCGTGTCATTGTAGGCTGAGCTTGGAGTTGGAAGGATTGAAACGGTAACAAAAGAGTGCCAGAAAATTCACCCAGAAACACATTCCCAGCCATAGATGCAGCACGTCTCACCGGTGTATCCATTGCCACCACATTGCTGGTACGCCTCACGGCATTTCTTCGTGGTGGTCGTCTCCATCGTTGCCACTGTGGTCACAGAGGTCATGGTCGTGGTCGTGGCGGCACTGGTCCCGGTGGTCGTGGTCGTGGTCGTCAGAGCGGCGGAGTATTTCAAACAGGTCGTCCGGTCCAGGGGCTTCACATAGTTGATGCCTACCGAGCTGGTCCAATACTCACCCAATTGAGGATCTAGCACGAGTCTAGCAACGAGTCTACCACGAGTCCAGGGGCGCACAGAGTGCCCGGAATGTGCTGTTGAGTGCTCGGCGTCGGACGACCCCCCCGCCTCCCGGCTTCGTCCAGACCTCGCAGCGACCCGTGGCATACTCGATTCCTTGGCATGCGGCCTCTTCTCTGCAGCTCTGCTTGCACTCGTCCATGGACCCAACATTCTCCATCACTGTGTAGTAGTCACCACTGTTGTCACCTTTTTTCAGACTGAAGAAGCAGGAGCAGTTTTCAGGTGATGGAAACAACGTCGCTCCCGAAACTGGGTTGCGCAGGGTGCCAAAATGGGACCCCGTGAAATGGACATGGACTGTGACTACGGGAAACTTACAGCATATAATACAGTCTATGATGTATGGGGTTTTTTCAATGCCATAGGCCATAGCCAACCAAATGTTGCAATGCATGCAGGTCCAAGACAGCTGCTAGCTGACTGGTTAGCGGGGAGCATGCAGTGACACGATGCCAGGCTTTGGCTCCGGACGCTGAACCGTCGAGTGGCCCAGGCTCTCCCCTCGGCAGGCGCTCTCCTGAACCGCTGGATCAGCCAGGAAGAATTCCAAGCGAAGGCACGTAGCGCCGACTTGCGGCGATGAAGAGGCCACAGCCACCTTGGAAATGTGTTTTTGTTTCAGCTCTCTGCTGCTGAAACCACAGCTTGACGCAGGGTGTTACTGGTCAGATCCTATATGAATTCAATCCCTTCATGACTCGATCACTTCCTTGGGGCTCTTCCACTTTCCTTGGCCAAACCCACAAAACCAAACCAAACCAAACACCCCGGACAGCCAATCGAACCCTGTTGAGACCCACCTTCCTCCCCAGTCTCTCATCCGGATCCAGAGGGTTGTCCGTCCAGGACGAGTAACGCGCGGCAGAGTGGTGGTGATCTTCGACTCCAACAGACTGTGACCAATATCTTCTTTGACAGAAAGATATTTAAATCTCTTGTTGGTGATCGATTTGTTAAAGACCACTCTTCCATTGGTCACCAAACTTTCGGGTGATTTTCTTCCATTGGTGATCTTCTTTTGGTTTAAATAGGACGGTCAAATCCATTTGTTTCGTCCCAGGCTCACTGCTCGTCATGATCTTGCAGCCGCTCGTCGAGAAGTCCAAGCCTTTGCAAGCTGGCAGGCTCAAGCACCGATGTTTGCAGCCATCCAAGGTCATTTCTTGGAACACCTCGCTCCCTGCGTCACCTGCCACGGCTGGGAGAGGCGGGAGACGTGGGAGAGGTCGTCCAGTCTCTTGGAGCGCAGCTGGGTGGACGCCAAAGGAGCCTGTTTTGGACCCCCTCTTGAAACAGCGGGTCTGGCCTCAATAAACATCCTCAAAGGTGCAAAAGATTCACTCCAAATGACTCTCAAAAGGCCAAGGAAGAAATCTGCACTGCCCTAATTTTGCCGTGGCATCGGCCGGTGGTGCCTTGGCATTGACGATCCACACCCCCATCCACCGGCAGAAAGAGGGAAGGCTTGTAGCTCCAACACTCAAAGTTGCCCAAAGCAATGCTCGCCTCAATACCTCCAGGCCTCAGAGAATGCACCCGCCCGGAAGCGTTTTGGATGGGTCGAGGAGATGCTCATCAAGAATCACCATGGAAAATGATTTGATGCGTCGGTTTCGCCGCCAAACCTCCCATGGCACAAGATCATCAGATCTCTTGTTTAAATCGCACTAGAGAAATGGGTCGAACGAAAGACTCGACTCTGCTCAAAACCCTGCTCGCCAGAAGTCGTGTTTGTTGAGCTGAGGCCTCTAAAAGTCTGTTAATTCAACCATCCAAAGGAACAAGTCATGTTTATACAGGGCGTAGTCCTACTCTCAAGAAGCTGCTCACTTGAGGATGCATCTCTGTCCTCAAACACACACACACACACAGGATTGCCTATCAATCGCCTAAACAACACTTTGTCCCAGTCGCGATGCACAAGACCCGTGAAGATCCTTTGGACACCCGGTAGTATATCCTTCAAGTCCCATTTTCTCGAACCAACCCACCGTCCGGAAAGGCGAAGGACCGGAGACCGTCGGACCTCTCCAGGATATGGACCAAGGGGGTGCCACACGAGAGGTTCAGAGACCTGAGGTAGGAGACCCTGCAGTGGTCCATATGAGGTAGGACCCTGAGGTAGGAGACCTGAGGTAGGACTGGTCAGTGACTGGTCCAAAAGGGGCTGTGGAAGCTCTAGACTTCGCACTGGAGGCCTCCCTGAACTGCAGAGTTCTGCAACCAGGGCCGTGAACAAATGCTGCTCAGTGGACGCTGCTTCACGTGCAAACGGCGCCCCGGAGTTTTGAAACGCAACTCTGCTGCTTTCGGAGCATCGGGAATTCCACAAATCCTTCAATGGCCATCTGTTCACCAAGCACCCTCCATGAAGAAAAGAGATCCATGGAAGCACGACCGGTCCCGCTACCGGTCGCTCGCTAGGCCGACTTGACGGAAGGGTCCCCCGCAGGGAAGTTCCCCCCTCCCGGCTCCCGGCTCCGTTGAAAACCCCCGGCTCCGAGACGGGGGCGTGTTTCGGCAGCCCTCGACCCAGGCACCGCGTCCAGACCTCACAGCGTGAGCCACTGAACTCCACGCCTCTGGACGGAGGCGAAGGGCAGCGGCTTTGAGACAGCGGTGCTGGATTTGTCCCGAACTTGGAAGTCTCAAAAACGACCCCATGGGTGGTCTGGATGGTTTGTGCATCTCTGTGTGTGCTCCAAAGCTTAAAAAACTCTCCACTTGAAGTGGCTTTTTGGGGCCAGGAATCTCATGCCCTTGAGGGTGTGGCCGTCTGACAGTTGGTAAATAGAATGAAACTATTGGCTTCTGTACCACCGGACATGAAGGTCAAGTAGATGCTGGACTGCCATTGAAATCCTGAAAAGCACAAGAATGAACAGGATTTCAACAAGAGAGCTCGGCTTTCGGAAGATTCATCCACCCATTGGAACTAAGTACCCAAATTTTCGGAACTCCTGCCGCCTGCTGCAACCGAAAACAAAAAGGCCTTTGGAAACCCAGCAAGAAAGTCCCCAGGTCCCTTTTGAGATGCCCAAAACCTAGATGTCGCTTGCCACAAGCTCTCACGAGCATTCTGGGTGTCACCATGACCCAGGTGGCCTTGACAGTTGACATGCTTCATGCACTCCGCTTTGCAGGCATCGATGGATAGGATGCCTGAAAAAGAATCATCGGACTCTGCTCTGTGTGAGTTGGATCAAAGACTGGCTCTCACTATGCAACCTCTTTGAATCACAGTATTTACACTCAAGAATAGATCGCTACCACGGCTAGAGCTGCTCTCGTCCTCTCAATGTCCCTTGTGGCTTTTCTCGGCTTTTTGGCGGGTCCACACTCCGCCGCCTGACACCACCGTGTAGTAGCTGGCTTGATTATCCTGCGCTGATGCTCCACGGCACGCACGTCCCAAGCCGCCATCGACCGGAGACCAGTCGTAGAGCGGGCTCTGCACCATGAGAATCTGCTGGCGCGGGGATTTCTGCAGCAGACCCACACCTGCACCGAATGCAAAAAGGGCGGAACCAAGTTGGAATTCGAGCGATTTTGGACCATGTTTTGGCTGAGTGGATAGAAGTGAACCACTCCCACTTCTGGAGCGCCTGCAGTGCATCCACTTCCACTGCAGTAGGCATAAGCTGGCGATAAGCTTGCCAAGACAAAGATCCAAGCAGCCATGATGAGGGCAGAAACTCAGACCTCCAAATTTGAGCCTCAAAGGTTCTCCTGACACCGAGAGCATGTCCCCTACACATGCACCTCTTGGTAGCATGGTGGCCATGTCTCTTGAAGATGATGCCAAACCCTAGATCTGAGAAAAGAATCACTCAAGAATTCCAACGACTTGAAAAAGCTCCCAAGTTCCACATCACCTTTCCAAAAGAAGCTCCCTTCAATTCCACCCATCTTTGGAGAGAACGACTGGCACTTTGCTCAAGCCGTTTGGCCGTTTGCACGCCGGGTACCTTCACTCGTCCCGTCGGACCCGTCGGACTCGCGCTCCAAGGGCCCACACCGGCGGCGGCGCGACCCCCGTCGCGGGACCGAGGGGTCGGACCGGTCGGGGCGGGAGCGTCGGGGTCGGGTGAGTTCAGGTCTGCATATGACACATGTGATTGAATATATATAGCGACGGACTGAAACATAGAATGCGGGTACGGACGTGGGGAAATTTTTGGGAGCCTAAGACATAGAATGCCCGCCAGGCCAAACATTTAGAATGCCTGTCATGCCGGGGTATGTATGATAATGGAAGGATGGGATTGATCAGTGGCAAAAGCTAGAAGTGTCCAGTTTTGTGAGGAAAAGTCAGGAAGCACGCCGGTAGGTGTGTTTGAGCAATTCTGCACATTCATGGGCACGCGC